TTAAAAAATAAAAATAAAAAAGAGAGAAAGAAAAGGTCTATCAGTGAAGGCACGCAACGCGTATCATCTGCAATCTTCAAGATGATAATACTTCCAAGTCTGGTTAACCTTATCTTATCGCAGTGGTTGAGTGAACGGCGAACCGTTTATTCCAAAGTTGACGAGTAGCACTGTTAGATGATCATCACCAACTTGATCAAAATAAATACTACTTACTTTTCAGGGAAATGTCAATCACTGCGGGCATGCAATGCAGACTCTTAACTTAACAGTCTTCAAAACATTAACATAACCAAACTTGGTTAGCGTTGATATCGTCGAGTTGCTAAGGATCCCCGGACCGTGGACCCCTGCTTCCTGTAGTCCAAAGAATGCATATAAGACACGACAGGCCCCAACACACTCAAGCATGTTGATCACAGATTCATTTGATCAGCCCACTTCCAGAATGCGACAGCAGATAAAGGCTTGGCTAAGCGCCAAACGTCTGCGGCGTCAGGACCGAGCTATGCCCTGTCTTCCGAAGATCCGCCCCAGCGCTTTGACACCTACCACATCCAAAGAAGATCTCACGTCCTTGTCGCAAATCTCCCCAATCTTCAGCAAATTGCCGACCGAAATTCGGCGACAGATTCTGGTCATAGCGTTTGGCGATCGCACTCTACATATGGATCTCGCGCTACTGCCTACTTTAAACCCGGCTGATTTCGAGAGACCTGATAGTAGTTGCAATCTACATACAGCATACGGAATTAAATTGCGCGGTAGCAAAGATCGATCATTGAGTTGGCAGTGGAGAGGTTATCAATGCCATCGCAGGCTACCGAGTGAATACTATACCATTGTTCAATTTGTTGAGGAATACGAAATCGCTCCAGCCGACGATGAATGCTCCAGACCGTATGTTTGCGACAATCAACGTCATTCATGCTGGATTGGTGCGATGGGTTGGCTTTTAGCCTGCCGACAAGCGTATGTTCTTCAGCCAGGTTATTGTTTATTTTTATCCAAGCTGACATCTTTGCAGGTATATCGAGGGCTTGGAAGTGCTGTACAGCACCAACGTTTTCCATTTATCCAGCAAGCCAATTCTTACCAATCTATCAAAGTTATTACTGCCGCAGCGAATGTCTATGATAACTTCGCTTGAGGTGGTGTGGTTAGTCGACACGTACCTGCGTGCTGAAAAGTCCATCCCACGACAGGATGATCTGGACGAAATTCTCTCCAAACTCGACTCGAATTTTCCTCAATTGAGACGCTTGAATCTTTCAATCCAGTTGAAGCTATACGAGAAAATCCCGGTACATCTGAATGACATGATCAAAACTTTGGACGCATTTGTTGCCCGTCGGGCGCAATTCTTAGCGGAGCCAATTACAATCGGGATCGCAAGCTGGGCATATGAACAGTTATTTAGTGAAGTATCTAACATGCATCGCAAAAAGAATAACTTGGATGAGACACATATGCAGGACAAGGTGGGGTACAAAATGTGGCGTCATTTGGATGGCAATTATGACTTTGCATCAAACATCAAGACGAAGGAGATTTATGGTACTGTGGAAGGTGCAACGGCGCAGAATGGATACTGGATTCGACTGGGTGACGACAGCGCAAGGAGCATGGTTATCTTAGTGATGGGGTGCTTCGGTGGTGGAGGATGGTTGACGCGTGATGCCAGGTTCTCCAGTCCAAAGGAAGTTCCGACGTGGGATGAGCAGCGTGGGACTGTCGTTATGGTCGAAAGGGATTGAGTTACCAAGGTTATCAAGATTAGCGAGATGAAATGAAGCTTCCCTTGAATCCGGTAAGACAATAGCTCTTTTGGTGTCACTAATGATTAAGTTTCATCTCATCCCAACACTTAAAACCCCTCCAGACTGGTCCAAGCTTTTGGGACATTTCAATTGAAATTACCCACAACAGCTGAATTCTACCTATCGCCATCACAGCTGCAACTCACGCGCACATACATCTCAGACATAACACATCCACCGCCGTACAGTAGTTTAGTTGACTTACTTTGCTCCACGTCCAATGATTTGGTAGTGCGCGACAATCCGACTGGTGTCATAACACCCAGACTCTTTTGACCATTTCGAATTGCAAGTAGCTTTTGTGGTTGTAGCATGCATCCATAGGACCAGATTTGAGTCGCCAAGTCATCGAAAGTGGTACGGCCGCGTGGCCTAATGGCTAAGGCGCTAGATTTCGGTTCACCAAAATCAAATCCTCTAGAGATTGCAGGTTCGACTCCTGCCGCGGTCGATTGTACGATTGTTTTTACTTTTTGCATCTCAATCTGCTGTTTTTCTTATCAGGTTTTGCATCCATGACCCTGTTGACGCGTGGAACACCATCTACTCGTGGCTTTGATCGGACCATTTCTCAATTATCAAGGGTCATCTCACAGCAACTACAACGTCTACTTGCATCGCTTCGTAAAATTAAAAGTCGCTCCTCTTTTAGAGAAAAATACTTCTTTCAATAGTAGTATTTTATTTGTAATGCTAGTGGGACAGATCAATTGGATCAATTGCAATAAATCATTTCGTCGATGGTACAGTTACCCTGCACGTCATATGGCGTTGACCACTTGATGACTAAGTCGTTCAACACGCGCCACGGTATCTTGAGAATTTTCCCACTAGACTCATCGCGCGTCGACGCGTCAGCGCGTCATCAACCAATACAGTATGGGGGCCCACGAGTTATTCCAGGAATACGACCGTATCGACAGAATTCTGCATGGTCCTGTAATACCCAGGTATGGGGTACTGGAAGCGCCATTGTCCCTGTTCAAGGAACATCCCGATGACCCACTGGGTCTTAGCGATGTCATCCCACACGTCCTGTTACAGTTTGGTCAAGAACAGGAATGTTACGATTTCATCTTGGCGTCCCTCGACACAACGAACCCCAGCCATCAAATCAGAAGCAAAAATGCGTGTGAAGATTCATCTGCTTTGATAGAGGCCGGTCTCAGTTTGAGTCATCTCGTCGCGCTCACCCTTCTCAAAGTTCGACTCTACATTGACATTGACGCCATGTCACTGGAGCTCGACGGACCCCGTATACGTTATGTAAAGGGAGAGATCGCACAAGAGATATACAAACTACACTACGACCAGGTCCAACTTTCAAGAATTGCAAGGGATTTGCATAATGAGTATTTTAAACTGCTCGAACATGTACAATCAATCAATCCTCATCTATGGGAGGCTTTGGCTACTCAAAACGTAGCCTATACTTTACCTTCGACGACTCGCGGACCTGGTTCCAGGGATGAAGCCAATCGGGTAGTGCATCATTGCAAAAATGCATGGGTCAAGAGTTTTGGTCCTCTTGATAAACTTGAAGTCGACACGGCAAAGTAGATCCGCGTATACAAACCATCGGCTATGAAAATAAAGACGGAGCCCTTGAAGAGAAGGAAAGGGACAGGAAAGGCTTTCCCAGTGAGACTAAAACAAACCGAAATCTCCAGGGTTATCCCACGTGTTACGTCGTATTTTGACTCTTGGAGGTGCCGAATGGTACTTAGCAGTAGAAAGCTCCTGCTATACGCCGATGCTGCTTGGCTAGGCGGTGGACACGCAGCTTGGGCTGTTTCCCTTGGGTGCGATGCTCAGCTGGGTAACAGTGTCACAACTGGCCGTGTTGAGGCACTGGGTCCATTCAATCATTCAGAACCCATCACAAGCAGTCGAGCCGAACTTCGTGCAGTCATAGCTGCTCTGCGCCTTAGTGACTGGAAGGCAGAGGGCTTCAAATCCATCAATGTCGCCACTGGCTCGACTTATGTTACCGGAGGAGTAAGTAGGGTAAAGAGATGGCGTGACAAAGGGTGGAAGAGAAAACGCGGCAAAGATGTCAGTGACAGAGACTTGTGGGAACTGTTACTTGGAGAGACGGAGCGATGGAAGGACCAGGATGTCGAAGTTTGTGTGCTAGGCGTCCCGCGAGAGGTCACTGTTGAGACAGGTAAAGCGGCGTCAGCAGCTGCTCGTAAGCTACAGGATCAGGCGAGGTTCACTGACGTCGCATTAGACCCTTTATTGGAGGCAAAAAACCAACCAGAGCGTGTCACGATTATTATTGCACTTGGAGGCAATGACCTTTCTCCTAACAGCTGGCAATCCACCCTGCTCCCCATGGCTCAAGAGAGATCGGCCGAGACTCCCGAGCGGGCGCTAAAATTGCTCAGTGGTCCACCACCCGCTGGGATCTTTATCGCAGACGCCGCGATCACGCGCCACAGGGAAGTGTTAGAACGAATCATCGACGCCATGCATAAGGGAGCCAAGGTTGTTGTTGGAGGTGTCTTCGCCAGTACAGTGACACCACTGGAGTTTGCTCGTTTCTTTACCATTCTTGGTCTTCTGTGGGAAAGAGCGTATCCTCATCGGGCTCCTCTTTATCTGCGGCCTGGAGTGCTGTACAGGGACTCGACGGTCCGGCTGCCACGGGAATTGATGGACAAGATGTATTTTATTGAGAGTGTGAAGGAGTCGGAAAATTGGTACACGTTTACTGGCAACCCTGCTGAGCACAAGGCTGCTGTTGCGTATACAACGATTGGGGCTGGAGCATTTGGGTTTGTCGGATGTGTGAGTCATGAGAGGGGTGCTATCAATATTGCCAGAGTTATGCTTGGTGAGACTTTGTAACTACAGATTGGGTTCTAGGTGTGCCAGAAGCCTTGGGAGTAATTTGTGTTATATACATGTGGTGATAACTCCGCTTTCTATTTACTTATTCTTATGAAGTTTTGTAAGTAATAACTATAAACTTTTCTCAACTCTTCTAAACAGTCTTAAAGGACCAAACAAATATCCCAAATCCTTCAACCGATCCTAAAACTATGAATCAAAGATAGCTCCAAACGCAGGAATACCCCTAGTCTGCATGCCAAATACAACCTTATCCGTAACCTTGGGGTTCGAAATGATGTAAACTGCCTCCGCGTTGGACTCAACCACCAACTTGTAAGTCTCAAGCACAATATCCGGATATCCACGAGTCGTAGTATTCCAGATAAGTGCGTTGGGATCAGCTCTCTTGACCGCGCTGACGACAGTAGGTCCGTATGTTTTCTCAGGATCGCGTGTCGACCAAAGAACGCGACGAGGTGTGACATCCGCATAAAGAAGAGAAAGACAAGGTCCAATGCCAGAGCCTGTAGCTACAATGACAATCCGTTGCCAGATCTTTGAAGTATACAGCAGACCATGGAGAGGAGCACCTCGAACCCAAAGCTTTCGCTCCGCAGCGTCCATAATCTGCTTCTTTGTAAAATCGCCGGCGTTAGAAACAACAACACTGAAACCTTCAACCTTTCCAGACTCAGGCTCGATATCAGGGATGGTAGCGAAAGCGTGCCATTCAGTAAGAGGCTTCTCGCTAATCTTGAGTCCGTAGAAGGGCTTCATGCCTCTGTACTTGAAGTGAAGACGGGTAGCGTGGTCGCTCAGCTTCTCGGGGTAGACGACGCGACGGCGGAGGCGAGACCAAGAGGCGATTGTGCAGGAGGTTGTGACGCAGATGCACCAGAAGTTGGGAGATCGGACAAGCGCGTAGGCGATGGACTTGTTCCATTCGTGGGCTGTGACGCGGGCTTGGACGATGTTGTGGACCCAAAATGCAACGAGTGAAACCCAACCTGCGAAACGATGAAAAGCTTCAAAGTGATCATGAAACTTTCGTCGAATGCTGGGGTAAGCAGCCACAAGAATGACAAAAAACATGCAAACAACAACCCAACCAGTAATCATGTTCACCAAGCGATACTCTTTCTTATCCTCAGCATACTCCATAGTAGCTAAGATAGTATAAGTAAGATACCACGCGGTCGCAGCGACACCAGCACCACTGTGAAAGCCTCCATAGTGGAATACTTTGGCAAAACGCTTGCGGATCCAGATTGGCCAGGAATGGGGGACGAGAACGGCGATTTCGTAACAGAGGTTGACGAATTCTTCTTGGCGGAAAAGAATGCAGACCATGAGATTGGCTGATGCTGCGCTGGCTGCGTCGCGGGAGAGGAGCGTGGCATTGGAAGTTACCATGAGGGCGATGAAGACGGCTGCGTTGGCGACGAAGATGATTGTGAAGATCTTGCGGTATGTTGAGGCCTGTCTGTCTGGTAATTGTTAGCTAAGAACTGTACTAAGAGATGAAAGTAGCTTACACTTGAAGTCGCGGGTCGATTCAGAACCGCGCTGTTCAGGAAGGACGATTTCCTTTGGGGAAGCTAGTACAACCTCTTGTTTAGGCTCAATGGGTTGAGGTGGGATTGAGGCAAGAGATGTCTCTGACTCAGAGGCAACTTGCAAAGCGAGCGCTTCTCCGTGTGAAGCCATTGTAAGGAAGTAGATGAGATGATATGAGTAGAGTGAATTGTTGTCTGGATTGTTAATTTGGCGGCACAAGAGCTGTTCATATACGCATTTGCGATTGAGGCTTCATGCTGGCAACAAGCACTTCTGCTACGTTTCGCGCAAGCCCAACGCCATAATCTCCAACCTTCTCACAGCTAGAATAACTTCAGAGTAACGCCAAAGCTAAAGTTTCGAATGGACGACCCATTCGGGATGCCCACGTGCATTAGCGTTGTTGCTTCTACCCATTCAACTGGAACACAGAAGCTAAAAGACCAATGACGATAATGTGGCTGTCCCGACGGCCTTTTCAAATTCGCATTCGCTCGTTTGGAGGGGCATAGCCTTTCAAGGTGTTCGCCAAGCCAATGATCTTCAGGGACCTAGCTCTTGTTCAGCTTAGCTCTGTGATTTAAGCTAGACGATAGTACGGTACTAGAGCTCAGAAGTAACCTTAAACTCCACCTGTCAGCCGTAACGCTGGAAACAGAATTGGTTCGTTGGATTGACGCCACGGATTATTTTGGGTGACGCTAACTGGTTGGTTTAGTTACGTTACTTCGATTGCCAGCCGTGATGATTAACGGCTAACTGTTTAGAGGATGGGGAACGGCATTGTCCGTTTTTGAAGTACGAGGGAATTGCGTAATTGTTTGGTACGGCGTGTCCGACCCATCCTTTGTTTCTAAAAGATAGTACTTTAGGTATCGTGATGTTGCTGCCAAAAGGCTATGACGACACTGCCTACACGTCCAGAATGAATATTCGGCATTGATACGAGGACATTGAATCGACGCAGCTCGGCAGGACTTCGTCACCTATTAATAGATCTCTCTTGTATTGGTCCACAACCTACACTAGATCGCGCCACAATATCGACGGCATATTAACTTGCCATCTTGACAAATTCCCACAGAGTTCCTCCTTCGTCTTGTCGAAACAGCCCACTGCCATCTTTCTTCGCAGACACTTGTCTCTGTGTCCACCAGTCCAGGCTCTGTATTAGATACAACCCACCTTTCCGCCCACACAGAGTGAAGTCCTCCCAGCCCTTGTGATGATACACCTTCGCATAAAAGTCCCACCAAATATCATGCCCTAGGAAGGTCCCCTCAGCGATGTTCTTGAAACCTCTGAAGCCCCCTCTTTCTTTGCACTCCCACTGAGCCTGCTCAGAAATATGTCGTTGGGGATTGCTCAGGTCGATTGTTTCGAGGCGTAGATTGCCATTGTGACACGTGAGAGCGCGATTGTTGGCGACGTCAAGGATGATGTATTTTCCATCGTGATGAGGGTCGCATTTGCGACTAAGGCTGTCATGATCTGGCATTCTGTCACCGGCTTCAGATGCTGCTGGTGTACACTCCGTGTGTGTAGGAGTGTCGACACCAGCGCTTGACGAGTCCAGCCACTGCTCTATTGGATCGGCTTCGGAGACGGTGCGAGGCGTCATGACGCCTACGCTCGAGACAGAACTAGACATTGCTGAAAATTTCGGTCGGTAGATGATGGTGGTCAAGTGTAAAGTTGAGCTGGATAGCTACTACTTTATAGAAGTCTGTGGTGACCCCGCACCTGTTGTTTGGCAATCTATGATTGATGTGGCGGTATTGCTCAAGACGACCCAATAGTTGCGCGAGATTGTGGTGCGCATAACAGCCACCAACAACACGTACGAGGTAATTTCGGTAAAAGAATATTGCGTTTAGGCATAAATCTAGTATCTTGTTTGTGGTGTATCTAATCTGTAGCTGTAACCAATTCGAATCCATGTCGTAAGCGGCAAGCCAATCTGTATCAATCTCATAACATCATTAAAAGTAAACGCCAAAATCCCAAGCAAAACTCATATGCATCCTCAAACCTATCAAATCCCATCACCCATATTCAAAACCTTGACAAACTCCCAAGACGTACCACCCTCCAACTCCGGATAAACTCCATTCCCCTCCTCACTCGCAGAGACCTGCCACTGCGTCCACCAGTGCAAAATCTGCAACCAGTACAGACCCCCATCGCGTCTAGCAATAGTGAAGCTTTCCCAAAGACTATGCGCCGAAGCATTGCCGCGGAAATGCCACCAGACGTCGTGTCCCAGAAATCCGCCGCCGGCGACGTTCTGGAAGCCTTTGAAGCCGTTGCGTTCGGTACATGACCATTGAGCTTTCTCCGAGATACTCTTGTTGTCGAGGTTGATCGGTTCGAGACGGACTTGGCCTTGGTGGCATGTCAAAGCTCTATTCCGCGCGACATCGAGAATAAGATACGTGCCACCAGCGCGAGGGTCCGACTTGCGAATGAAAGCAATTGAGTCGCCAGTCGTGAGACCTTCGTCGTTAAGCTCTGGGGTGAATTCCGGGGAAGGCGGCCAGTCCTCCTGATCCAAGCTTTCGGTTGAGCAATTTTGCCATCGCTTGGCAATATTCTGCTGGTTCGCTTGGGCGTTTTCGCGAGAAGCTTCGAGTTGAGTACTAATAACTGAATTGACCAAGGCAGAGCGAATGTCCCATGTTCTTGTTTTGGTGCCCATGTTTGATGAAAGAGTGTTTTGGGGAAAAGATTGAATGTCCTTGCTGGGTTGAGCTGTTGATGTTAAAGCTGGGTCGGTGAAGGACTTGGCCTCCACAATATCGTGTTGTCCATTGGTGAGTTGTCAATCGCACAGACCATATTGAGCCAATTATGGAGAGACAAGTCAAATTGGTAACGTGGTTTCTAATAAATGCATAGATCTCTTAGCTTCATGACGATCCCTAATCTGGTACTCTGCCGGGAATAAGCTGTAATTAATGCACAGTGACTCAGTCGACGCAAGGATTCGTATCAACAGCACGAAATGGTATAATCGCACTCGGTTAGGCAATGTCAGCATGACTCACAAACGCACAATATCTAACGAACTTCCTATCTTGGTGATCATGAATCTTACAAATATTTCTTATCTCCAAGTATAAATTACAATCGTTCCACGTTGTTAATTGTGTCAAGGCTCTCTTCCGAACAATAGACTCTATACAATTGCCAGAATGAGCTCTACCTCTAACCAAGAGTGGCAGCCACAGCCCTTGTCAATTGCCCCAGCAATTGCAGCTTACAATATAAACACTCCAGAGACACTTGCAATTGAGATCGACCAAGCAACTCATCGTCTTAATATTCTCAACCTTTTCAAAATCCCTACTTCGTCCAACATTCTTGAGGTTGGCTGTGGTCAAGGAACATGCACTGTCGTCCTGGGTCATGTCACTGGTCCAGCGGGTCATATTGATGCGCTTGACCCCGCACCTCTTGATTACGGCGCGCCATACACGCTCGGTCAAGCACAAGATCATATAACCAAGGGTGAAATGGGCGATCGCATCACTTTCTGGCAGAGAAAGCTCGAGGACTTTCTACAAGAGACAGGCGATAAGAAATGGGACTGCGCCGTCTTAGTCCATTGCATCTGGTACCTCGACAATGAAGAGACCCTCACAAGCATGCTCAAGGCATTAAAGGGCCGAGTCGATAGGCTCTGCATCGCCGAGTATTCGATGCAAGTTTCTTCGCCGGCCGCTGTCCCTCACATCCTTGCGGCGTTTGCTCAAGCTACACTCGCAGCACACCATCCGGAAAGCGAGGCGAACATTCGTTGTCTGCTCACACCAACGGACATCAAGAGAATTGCTTGTCAGGTTGGGTGGAAGGTAGAGGAAGAGACGACCATTGCGCCCGACGAGAAGCTGCAGGACGGCAAGTGGGAAGTCGGAGGAGTCAAGAGTCCTGAGTTTCTTGGAGATGTCGAGAAATTTGTTAAGGATACTAAAGTCAAGACTTTACTGCGGAGTCAAAGGGAAGCTGTTTTAAGTGCTGACGAGCAGCTTGCTGGTGGAAAGACTAGAACGATGGATGTTTGGGCGGCTACTCTTATCTGATTAGTCGCTTTACTCGTTGTCAGCAACAACGTAGTAAGAAAGCTAGTAACAGAATAAATTAATTCACCAACGTCTTTCGAAAAAACTCGCAACATATTTTGAGATCAGATTTGGGAGAGTTTTGAGGCGCTTCATCTGAGGAAAAGATATTTCGGCATCTTTGCGACGGTATAGATCTTCTCAGGTTGTAAATGTACAATCTGCCAACCACTAGCCCAACCACCACCAGCGCTTCTGTTCCTACACTCCTTTTCAATGCTGGATTCGATGAACTCCTTAGCCTTGGCCTCTCTCTAAACCCGGCGCTGATTCATGGATCAGCCATTGAAGCGGGTTATATTCATTCAGTATCAGCCTGGGTCCGTAGTGGAGCTGGATGCACTGAGAAGTATATTATCTGTCACCACGGCACGGAAAATACTAGTCATGCTCATGCAACCAGGGGTGTTAGGGTAGCGGCTTGGGCATTGATAACAATTAATTCAATTGTAATAGTAAGGTGCTGCTACGTTGACCCAGATAGAGTAAATAATTACTGTCCTAAAGGAATCCCGTGTTTAACAGGCGTAGTAGGTACTGGTAACAACATACATCTAGCTAACAGCCAGGAGGGTTAGCTTTAGGTAAGCATCAAACCTATTAAAGTTTCAATCAGACTCTAACATCGGGAATATGTCTTGGGGAAAGATCCAGAGGAACCTCTGGAAGCTTTATGATTGGTAGGGGACAAATAGAGCCAGAGAGACAGGGGACATTTGGAACTTTGGTTCATAAGCGAAAGTGGAATTCCTTAGCGCTTACTTTAATTTCTTTTCTTAGCTCAGCGCCAAAAATGGATATACTCCAACATTTCAGCAATTTAGACTTCTTACCTCTTTACCAAATTCAACAAGTTGAAGGTCGTTTCTTCTTATATAATTGAGAAACAATACTTATCTGTAGATACTATAGTGCTGATTGTAATTTGATGCTTGATTGATGCCTTCCTGCGCTTCTGTAAGAATGATAGGTCGGATGTCTGAAACCCTGGTCCTTGAATTGACGGTGGGGCCAGATTCAGGGGGCTGTGCCGTTTTTGAAGGATCAGCTATCAATTATAAAGACAGTGGTCCCTGCTACAATAAACAGATCTTTTCTCCATCTTTTGCCATCACTCAACAAGCAATTCATCACCATGAAGTATTCCCTGCTGTCTGTTCTGTGCATTTCATCCTCGGCTTTGGCCGCTTTCCCTCGCGGGTTTGACTTGTAAGGTCGTGAATCCTCTTTCCGGCTCACCGCTAATTAGTCCCAGCTCATCCTCTCTTATCCTACCGCGCGCAAACAATCCCATCAGTGAAGATGGCAACTGTGGTTCCAATTCTGACATTAAGGCGACATGCCTTGGTTCTGAATTTGGTAACTGCTGCTCGGTGAAAGGTTACTGCGGCAAGACTTCGGCATACTGCGATGAGGGCTGTCAGAGCTCGTTCGGTAAATGCGGATCATCAAAGTCCGATGGGCAGCTTGTCAGTACTTCGGGTTCTTGTGGTATAACTTCCTCAGGGAATAATGTCACATGCCAAGGGAGTGAGTTCGGAAATTGCTGCTCCGCCAAAGGCTACTGTGGCAAGGTTGACACGTACTGCGGTGAAGGGTGAGTAGAACTAAATCACCTTCAATTCTGAGATGGTCGCTAACGCATGTTCAAACAGCTGTCAGAGTGGTTTCGGTACCTGCTCATCTGATGATAAGTCCTCCACGGCTACTACAGCAACTCACAAGACGGTAACCGTGAAACCGACCTCTTCAATGGACGATGTCACTTCAACTTCGGAAGCGACCTCTTCGACCGACGATGTCACTTCTGCCGATAGCACTTCAACCTCAGAAGCAGCCTCTTCAACGGACGATGTTACATCTATTGATAGCACCTCAGCCTCGGAAGCAACTCCTTCAGCGAACAATAATGGTACTGTTGATAGGACCTCAACCTCGGAAGCAGCCTCATCGACCGATGTCGATTCGTCAAGCCCATCGACAGTTCCGTCTAGCGCCGGTACCAAGGTTGGAATCACGGTCAGATTCGTCATCAGCCAAATCGGAGCGATCGGCTTGCTCGCCTGGCTTTGATACGGAGAACAGGAGACCTCTTTTACAGATGATACACAACGCTGTGGTGGGATATAATAATGAAGCAAAGTATAAATTGCAAGTGGAGGAGTTTTCTGAGTTGTCTGTGAGGATAGAATAGACGCAGAGTTGGCAATAGCGATAATATTGTACAAATAGTATAGGAAGGGCTAAATACACGTCGCCCCACGCGTCTATCATCGTCAATAAACTTCATTGAATGCGCTATCACCATCTATTGTTGTGTTGACCTTTTGTAGCAACAATGTCCTGGATCATCGGCTTTTAAACCATCATCGATTGGTATTACTGATGTTCAAAGAACGCTCGCAGTGATCTGACTTCAGATAACTCTACAGTTATAGCGCCCTAAAGAAGTAATATATTATATACCTAGATTTATTAAGCGATATCCTTTTCGACCTCATCCACCCATCCACGTATATCGTCAAAACGGGTCCTCATCCAAAGATATGTCGGACGTGTAACGTCTCGATACATCACTTTGCGCTTTGGGTAAGACGAAGAAGTGATTTTCTGAGCTTTCTTCATCCCCTTCTTGAACGGCCCAAATTCTGACCCGATTTCCCATACCGCGACGTCCAGTATCACCTGGTTGATCTTACTGTGGTCTTCCCATCGGTAGACTTTCTCATCGCCATCAGAGTCCTTTTCCAAGATCGGAAACACCAGGTCATGTATAAACTCGATGCCAAGCTCTTTCGCTTCCCCCTCGCTGGCCGAAGGTATCTCCATCCTGATTGTCTCCAAGTTGCAGCCTCGTGAAAGAGCTTTAGCTATTTTGCTCTGTCATGTGTTAGTGGCAGCCCAGCTTTCTTCTCTTGAGCATGGAATCGGATCTTACCAGGTGTATCGCTGTTGAGCGAAACCTAAAATGCCTCAGTCTTGGCAGATTGTCGACAAGAAGTGCCACTGTATTTGCATCCAGATATGGTGCATCCCAGTCCCGAATGCTATACGTGTTCATGAACTCCAGATTGCTCAAGTTCTTATGCTTCAAGATTCCTTGCAACATTGCATCTTTCAATACAGGGTTAGGCAAGTCTGCAGAATGGACATAAACTGTGAGACTAGTCAACGTGTCGAAAGAGGATATGAATTCCAAGCCGGGCTCCTCCTCCTCGGTCTTCGCAGTCTGATCCCCTCGATTTGTGAATGCTTGGTAGCCCATATTCAAAGAGAGCTTCTGGACCTTAATTTTAGTGCTTTCCGCAGATGAGAAGATACTAGACAGTCGCCGAAACAACAATGACAGCCGCTTGCTCTGATGACTAAGATCGAGACTTTCCAGTGCGGTAAAGTCAATTGCTCTCGTGACCGCATCTACCTCATCAGGGTCCATGAGCCACGACACACGCTGGAGAGAAAGCGACTTCAGGGTGGTAAAGTCGTACCGCCGCTCGGAGGATTCGTCTAGCTCTTCTGTCCTGTCCATTTTATTCTTATAGAAACGTTGAAAACAGCTTTTATCAAGGGTCAGACTCCGGAGTGTGGACCGTGAATTCCAGATGAGTGCAAGAGGACTGTCTGCAGTAGTATAAACATCGGCCGTTTCCAAATGAAGATGTCTTAATCCCTTGATCGCCGTCAATGGTAATACATCTGGCATTCTCCCTTCAGAGATCTTGAGGTGAAGAGCCCGAAGGTGATTATTGGAGGCCAGGCTCTTTGCCATTGATCTATTCATTCGTTAGCAGTGATGGCCAAGTCCGCTGGATATTGACATTCATACTCTGTGAAATCCGTGGCTGCAAAAACTTGCAGATTACCCGCGCTTTTCAGGAGCTCTTCGATATAGCGGTAAACAATAAATCTGTGTTTTTGACCTGGATCACCAATCTCAAAAGCAGCTTGCCGAATGAAGTTTGCAATCTCAGGCCGCCTCTTCTCATCCGTTTTAGGAAAGGTCTCTTGTTGTCCCTTGTATTGGCCTTCCTTCCTCAACTGCTTCCTCTGCCCAATCGTGAGAGCTGGTTCGATGCTCCGAATAAGTTTGGCAATGTGAGCGTGATACTCTACGCTTGCTTCGACGCGCTTGTATAGTCGAGGCATAACGAGGCTGTGGAAAGCCTTGCAGGTCTTGGCCAGATTTCCTAGGGACGCTTTGTCTTTAATCTGACCGATTGTCAACGGATGGTTGGAAGTGGGGAATCAGAATCGTAGCTCACCTTGCTCAAAACCAGATTCATTGCTTCCGGAGGCAAGGATGAGAAGGGGCCATTGGAAGTAATGTTTTCTGCCTGAACAGGTGGCTGGCCATCCTTTTTCGTCGCGCGTCCGGTCTTTGGCTTCAATTGCTGACTAGTTAATGTATCTGTAGACTCCTTACTCTGAGATTTTTTCATGGGCGCTTTGCTGACAGGTTTATCATTGTTGGGAGGTGGAGTTTTGCGCTTTGATGTTCTCTTACGTTCTTGGGAGGACAACTCTGCAGAGGCTGGGTTATCAGCCTTGGCTTTGAGTCTCGCGCTCCTCCTCTCGGCCATCTTGTACTACCGGTTCTGGATTTCTTAGTAGCACGAGGAGTGGAGTGAAGGCATTGAGTTCTAGAGGCCTGGCGGCGTGTTTTGATAATTCCATCACGTGATAATGCTGACATCGATGACCCTTGCAGATGACGAAAACCGCCCTCTGCCTTGTTCTTGTTCTACGGGTCTTTCTAAGTCCAGATACCTTAAAATCTTATTACGTTTTGTTTGTAAAAGCTATTGTTCGTTACTCTTTCGTCCTGTTAAAAGTCCTTTGAACCCTAAACTAGTAGGTATTTACCTTCACTGAGTGGAGTTAAGTCAAGGATAAGTAAGATCAGTATATAGAATAACTTCACGATGCCAAGGGTCAGTGTCAATGACGTAATCGAGTCTCTGAAATAACTGGGAATGTGCATATTGGCATTTGGGGGTCCACAATGGAAGAGGGCGCGATAGAACTACAAGGTTTCAAACATGACTGAAAGGAAATGGGAGTAATGGGTATTAATAAAAAGATCTCAAAAGAGCTATGTTTATAATAGCCCTTTCAACTCTAAAATACTTTTAATTTCAGCTAACTGAATAGGCTTTGTTAAGAACAGGTCAATGCCACTTAACAAAGCCTCTTGCTGTGCATCCTTCGATGCTAGACCCGTTAGCGCAAAGATACTGCACCTAGGTATAGACTCGTCTACTTCAGAAGCACGTATTGCTCGTGTTGCTTCGAAGCCATTCATAACAGGCATAGAAATATCCATAAAAATGCATCTGAAACTTCTCGGACTCATTGTGTACTTTTCCACCGCCTGTCTTCCGTCAGTTGCGGTCGTATACTCCAGCTTCAGCTTCTTCATAAACATTATAAGCATCTTCAGGTTAATTGGGTTATCATCTACTAAAAGAAATGTGTTGCTTGAGGGTTCGTTGTCAGAAATGGGATCCAGCCTCTCTGACGGTGTGATTAGAGGAGAACGAGGTAGTTGTTGTGGGACCGTTGGGATTGCGTGGTCGAAGGGATCGCTCATAATAGCACTATTTGCAGATTCAAGATGAGGCGGTGTTGGGGGTCCCTGTTGTATCGTAGGGATTATGTGGTCGTGGACATCATTGTTGGATGATGCTCTGGAGAGGGGGGGTTGTAGTGATATTGATACACGGTTGATGGCGTTTGACAAGATCCTGGCCATTTTCCGTGGACCGATACTAAATGAAGTCAGCTTATAGAGTGTAAATGTAGGTGAGACTACTTACGGTTGATATGTGAAGTAAATACGCTGCCCACCATTTTCACTATGGCTGGCCTTGGCTTTTTCTGCTTTGCGAGCTAGGACTGCGTTTGGACATATAACAACTATCGGCGTAGATTTGTCGTTCTGTGTGACTGCCCTGGCTTTTTCCAAGGAGCGATCATCGCATAGCACAACGTGAGGAGCATTCTGTGTCTCGGGAGGCTGGATGACCTGCATTCCTAGCCAATCTTGACACACTGACACAAGATCATCCTTCTCGCTCAATGGACCTTCAAGGTAAGGGCTACGAAGACGCTGGTCTGCCTGATCATTAAGACCTACGAGAGAGGCACTGCAACTCACGAAGTCATTGGCAACGCCTTGATCTGAAGATGATTCCGTAGTGTCATGGGGGGTCCGTTCGCTGACCTTTAAGGGCAGACTGATGCATACTGTGGTTCCGACAGACACTGCGCTGCGGACATCAACAGTTCCACCAAGAGCTTGAGTGATTCGTCTGACAATACTCAATCCAAGTCCGGTTCCGGCGTTCATCATATTTTGTTGCGTAAAAGGGCTGAAAAGGTCATTGGTGAGAAAGTCGCGAGTCATACCACATCCAGTGTCGGCAATAATCAGTTTCACAAGGCGTACTGTTGGATCATCGGTTGCTGATTGCTCCATTTTGATATAGATAGAACCACTTGACGTAAACCTAAGAGCATTTCCGAGAACGTTCATGACGATACGTCGGATTGCGCCGGGTTGTACGTGGAATCTCCAGTTATCCCCGGGCTCAAAATGAACCACAAATCTGACGGGGTCCTTGTTTGAATTGGACGGCTCTGTTTGGCCAAATGATAACTTCTGGAATTCGTGACCGACGTGAACACTTTCGACAACATCCTCCACAAGACGAGGGAGGTCGGCGTCTGTCGCGATGCTCATCATGCTAGCTTCCATACTATTGTTCCGGGAAATTCGCAAGGCGCGGTTGTCAACCTTGGTATATGTGTAGTCGGGGCTAGTGGCCAGCGAGGAAGTGAAATGATTGATCTTGCTCCAATCCAGAATCTGATCAATCGTATCGAGCAAAGTACGACTACAGGCTTCTATTGAGAGAAGAGCATCTTCTTGAGAAGCGCTAAGGTCCTTGCTGCGGAGTATACCAGCACCAAAGAAGATACCATGTAGTGGGGACCGAAGTTCGTGAGATATCGAGTCTAGCACGTCCAGCTTAGATAACTCAACTTCGCGTTCCTTGATGAATGACACCTCGGCCATGAGAACGCTACCAAGAGCGCGCAAGTAGCTGAGTTCCCTTTTGGGTGAAAATACCCGGCTCGTCTTATTACTATAAGCAAACCCGCCGGCGAACCACCGTCGCTTTTGAGCGTTCCATAAGGGGAAGAATGCGACGCTCGTAGCGCCGGGTAAAAGGCGAAAGACTTCTTTGCGAAGTTCTTGCCTTGATTCCAGTTGGCCAGGTGTGAACGTCGGACCGGGAGGAGCATCAGGCGGAAGTTCATCCGGCCCGTCAATCTCTTCCGCGATTGTGCTGTCACCTGAGGTATCCGAGCAACTATCGTCGCTTAAGCAATCGCTCACATCACTCTCGGCGTTGTCGAAATTCCATATTGTGCCTCGGGGGTAATAACGCAGTAACTTCTTGAGCGTTGACGCATACAGAGTTGAGTGGCCAAAATATGAGTCTGCACATTGCGTGGCCTCGGCTGTCACAGACGAGCTGAGTACTGGACATGGACTGTCAGCGTCAATTGGAGGATTCGGCCCACTGTTTGTACCAGGGCTAAGATGTGAAGATGAGGCATCGAGCAACAAGAGACCCTCGACTTCCAAGGCGTCCCTCATGATATCGGCTGCAGTTGCGCATGTGTTGACTAGGCGGTCCCCTCGATGTCTATTACCACTGGAGGAATGGAACTGCGGACTGAAATCGGTTCCTGGTGTGCGCAGTCTCGGTTCTGATGCCAGTAGTCGGTCGTTCCTCATGTCTGTCTTTGTATTGCGCCCGTGAAAGAATCTTCGAATACCACCAGTCACGCGATCGGCTTGGCGATAACGCTCGCTAACACGTCTTTCCTCAAGATGGGCTATAACAGATTGGGCCACATCACGTAGAATACCTTCTGATGTTTTATCCAAGCCGGATCGAGGTTCTGAATCAAATACACACAGGACCCCAATGACGATGCCACGAGGGGTCACAAGAGGTGCACCGGCGTAGAAGCGATGATGCGGCCAGCCAAGACAGTATGATCGATCACATAGTATGTCGTCGTCGTTAAGGTCGCTTATTATCGTCAATGGAGGTTCTGTGGCGCTGTTTTGTGGTACTTGTAACGATCGGATGTCGGAAGAATTGATGGCGCGCTCGCAGACTCCAAATGAGCGAGGAAAATGGGTCCCGCAAAGCCAAAGGCCTTGATCAACGCCTTTTATTCTGGTCGTGGGCTTCAGAGAAGTGCATGGTGTGGCTTCGGCGACGACGAATTGGCTGGAGCGATCGAAGAGAGAAATGAGAGATCTCGAGGTATTTAGGCGTAAGGCTGCGATTTGACAAAATGCCGTCAAGATCGAGTCGGACGAGGTTGTGAGTTCATTTGAAGGAATGAGGTTTGTCGGCGAGTTTGGTCTTGAGCTTGATATCAAGGTCGGATCGTATCTGCAGTAAAGAGACGGCAATTGTTAGCTTTCCCGCAATTTACCAGCCAGAGTCGGGGGCAGTGCGACAAACCTGAAAGTCTCCCTCTCGCGAGCAAGCTCAATCTGCCTCTGACTCGGGCCCATGGCGATGGCAGTCAGAACAATGGGAATAATAAAACACGATCAAAGATTAACGATTGTAAACATTTACTGAAGGTGAAGATCTTCACTGGCTGGGATGGTGGGTCAGTTGGTCACGGCTCCCGGTAGAAAATGGAAGAAATGAAAGAGATGGGAATTTCTCTTCGCGACCGTTGGCTGAATGGCAAGCGGCAGCTAAGTAGACCACTAGCAGGGTTCACCAGCAATGTGGCGACCGGGGGTTTTGCTCCTCAGTTCAAAGGGAGAAAGAATATCCGAGACATAATCTAACAAAAAAGTACAGTACGTAGTATGCTGTGGAGGAGGGGAGGTTCCGCTACATCTTGCCGGGAAGTACTGTACTACGTAGTAAAGAAATTTACATGGAGGATGGCTAAATGGCTAGCCACACATTATGTGTGGCTAAAATACTCTTATCACTGTACCCAATCATCATCTTCTCTTGTCGGAGATAGACCGACAGGGTACGGAAGTGATTGGCACATGAAGGGTCCTGCAGCGCTGAGTGGCCGCCACAGAATTGGGAAAAGTACACTATTGGCATGGGACTCAGGGCTTGATACTGTACTTTACCTGGAGCTTATCAGAGGACTCCACAAATCATACGACTGTATCGGTGTGTGGAGTCTCGGTCAGCCTAGAGTGTAAGGAACAGACCCATGCCCGCGTCTAGCACTGTCCAGATTGGATAGATTGGGGGAAAGGTATAGGGATAGTGGATAACATTTTCCAGTTTGGTCTTTGGTTCATTCCCACAGCCGAGCGTACCATCGATAAGAACCTTGAGCTGTAACATTTGATTCCGCACATCTGTCGTAGGTACTTACATGTCTTACCCTAGAGCTACGTGTAAATTGTACTGAAACAGGTAGGGTTGTTTATAAGTATTTATAATATGAGAATTCTTGATCACAATATTATAAGAAAAACAAGAGTATTATCCTTAACTATTGGATGGGTTTGCAATCCGTCGCATGTGAAAATATTGGATTTCTTTGTCTTAGGGGAGCTACCGACTAGTGAAGCTTTGACACCTGTTAGAAACCCATCAACGGTCGACCGGACTTCCTTACAATTCCATCTATCCCCTGACAGGGAATAACAGACCCTGAAAAATGACAAGACCCTTGCTCCGCTGAGGGGTAGCTTGGCAAGGGGCGTAGCCCACAGTCAGGTTTCAGACCCTTGTTGACCATTTTCTCAAGGTAATTAAAGAAAAGCAAAAGACTTTGAAGATACGCACTTTTGATTGTGAGATTGATGGTTTCTTTTTGATTTTGCCTAGATTACTAGACTACTCAAGGAAGGTTTATGGCATGATAGTGTCATTTCAATTGCCGTCAAAGGAAAGGTGTCTTGGTGTGACGCTAATACAGTATGGGACACTTGTCAACTGTGCATGGTGCTACTGTACTGTAGTCTAGGTACCCGGTCTAGCCGTACTGTGCTGATTAAGGGTAGCATGAGCAAAGCGTGTGTAAGACTGGTTATGGCATTCAATGTATATGTACCTACGGATACGTAACTGTGATCTGCTTGTCACATGAGATTATTACTGAGCTGGCTTCCCGTAGTGTATGTAGTTGCTGAGGGACTCTGTTCTAATATCAGCTATTGCACGAATAACTTATCCAGATAGGTCAAGCATAGATTGTAATAGCTACAGTAGTCTATTCCTTTTCTCGAACGCGGACGTCCGCATTCATCAGAGGTACGTAAGCGTACCGAACGACTTCGGAGGGAGCTGTGTGGAAGCGGCCTGCTTCCGCCGATATGCGACTTGCAATTGGTCAACGAAAAAAACCATTCTTAGGTCCCTTGAACTCTGAGAATCTTGTGGACCCTGAATCTGAGCAAACACTGCAAAGAGTTTTAGGCGGACATCCGCCATCTTCTGATTGGCTGACAGATTTACCTCTACGTCTAACCTCATCATGAAATCACAATGGGGATTGCTGAAATTCCAACTGTTTTCAATATCCGCTTTTTCTTGTTAAGACATGGATAAATCCGATGCTGAATTTGATCTCCACTTGGCTTGACACCTCTATACGTTTCCAGTCTTTATCTTATTATTTTCCATTCTTTAACTTGGCAACCTGCGAGTCCGATTTAATCCAGTTCAAACTCTTTATCCTCTGCTGCCATGATCTCCCCCTCTCAACAGGACATGGCTCAGGCCGAGTCCCGCAATTTCTTCCACCGACAAGGCGTCAGCTGTAGCCAAAACACCAAACAAGCCGCTAAAATGCAGACAGTATGTTCCATAACACCAAACACATATTCTACCCGATGCTAACACCCAGCCAGGTACTGCAAGATGCCCACACACTACAAAAGCTCGCCCAGTCCTACGATATAGCCCAATTCTTGAACAAGACATTAGCTACCGACGACTGTCACCTATCGGATATAGCAAAACTCGCCGGAAACATCTGGCAAGCTCTCGAGGAAATGACTAGCTGCCCACCTCATGGACACACCATGAAAGACGGCAATGCCAAACCTAAACGCTCAACATCCCCCACGACAATCGCGGGATCTCCCAAGCGATGCTATAAATGCGGGGTGACCGACACACCGCGCTGGAGACGTAGCTCGCCCGGCTGTCCACGTCTCTGCAATGTCTGCAGCTTGGTTGAGACAAAGCGAGCCAGACGCAAACATTGCAAGTCAAAGGCCGCTTCAATTTCTACAAGATTTAGCTGGCCATGCTAAAGCTTGCTACTGTTCAACACCTTTTACTTCTGTTACTTGACGATATACGCATGCGACCCGATTAACTCAATTCTTGCGATACATGTATTAGCGGGAGTTGGCTCTGTATTTTAATGATATACGACTTGTTTATTTCGTTTTAATTAATTTAAATACCCTCCCTTTGGTAGATGGACAGTAATAACACAACGAAACAATTAAATTAATTGATCACCTTGAGGACTCCACCAATGCTGTCAAAGTCCTCAGCAAGTTTCCCTACCTGTGCGCCCGCAAAATCTGTTACCGCCAGATCCAAGTCAATAACCCATTTCCCCACCGCCTGTGAGTCCATCTCAAAACGTCCCGCAGTCTCCTCCAGTCGGCGACGGACATCGACAGCCTGATCCTTGTCCAAAACCCCATTTCGAATCGCCATTGCCGCAATTGCCTTGACTACTTTACCGGAAACACGGTAAGATAGATAGAGTTCTTGCAGTCCAGTCAGGCCGAGCTTGACATAGAACTGTCTTTCTTGTTGATCTTCTCCGCCGTGGATGACTGCATTCGCGACGTATATGACGCAACTTTGCCAGAATATCGACAGCACTTCTGGCCCCATATCTGAACGATGCGAGAGGAGAAGCCGCTTCATTTGCCCAATGGAGGCATGGTACACCGTTTGTGGCGTCGCATTGTCCGCTTCGAACGTGCGCAGCGGGGCAGACGAGAATTCACCCTGTAACAGCGGGCGGAAAAGGTCTGTGATGATTGCGTGGAGATAAATGCTAGAAAAAGAGCATGAGTTAAAGTCCGGATGAACATTTTTGCCTTGCAAGACTTACTGCAGCATGTGCACACCGTGGCAACTACCGGGTTGCCGGACTAGTTCTAGAGGCAGTTCATCTGCCCAACCAAGGAGTTGCCTGTATATTTTTTCGGCAAACTCCACAGACGGGGTTTGGTCAGACGCATCGCTTTGTCCATAGTACCTTTTGACTATCGTAGCAAATATTACCCACAGTTTGCAGCTGGCCCTAAAGACTTGACCGTTAACACGCGAGACATGCAATTTGCCATCTTGGATACGCGAGTCATCCTCGAATCCTCCCGGCATCGGGAGTTCAGGCGCTGTGTGAACATGAACCATGTGAAAATGAAGTGAGACTATACTGGCGACATGTTAGATCTGAAGCTGCGACAGAAAAAGACTACTCACGATGCTAGGTTGTATGCACCCCATGCAGCATACGACGATGCCCTTATCCAATCAGGATAGCCAGTAAGCCAACCCGCCTGGGCCCCCGGCTCAGCATTCAGAATACCCATTTTCTGGCCAAGTTTTAAAACTTGTCTGAGATAGTCCAATCCCAGGTCATCCTGCCCATGTGTTATGGCCGTCATGCACATGAATTGCAGAGCAGATAGGCTGGTGATTGTGATGGACTCATCAGGATTGAGCTGACTCCATCTTTTTTGGGCATCGGCGAAAAGGAGAGGGCTCCACGAAGCAGTCTCTGGATCGATGCAAGTACATGCTTGCTGCCGAAGCTAATAGTTAGCACTTGAAAGAATAACATTTCGTCAATTGGGATGCCTACACACGCCCAGCCCAGTAAAGCGGATATCAAGAGAGCCGAGCAGAAATAGGGTCGCTTATGACAAAGATCTTGAAGAAATAAATCTGCGTGAAAAAATGGAAGAACAGGATAGTCATTGTTGAGGTAGAGAGCTATGACCCGGACAGCGGTTTCATTGGGAATAGGCAGTTCCATCCACAATGTCAGGTCGACCTTTTGGAGGTACTCAACATACGATTGGGTCAGATGCGGTAACCCACTACAAAACTCAAAAAGAGCATCATCTTCTGCTTCTTCGTCGTCGTCGAGTATCATGTCGGCCGATGAAGGAGATCCTGTATCACGCAAGACCTGCGTCGCAGTCATTCCAGGTCTCCGGGAAGTCAGCTCTTCGAGAGGAAGGTCACTGACGGCCATGGGTAGCAATACAGGGTACGCGATGGGGTGTCGGACCGTGAGCTCTTGTATCATGGGGTTTGATGGTAGAAGGCTTTTGTTGAGGTTCTGCGGCTGTAGAGGTGCCAGAGGTATAGAAGGAATCTGAGTCTCGGATGTCTCCTTCCCTCGGGGCATTTCGCGAAGCATGTTGAAAAGCTCCAAGGCTTCGAAATAGGGGAGAGTGGTCAGGAGGTCGACAATGAACACTGGCTCACTGTTCAAATACGACGCCAGTTTTTCGAGCTGACCAGGACCACCTGGCGATGCAGTTACTACATCAAGATACGTGCATTCAAGGCCCCGATGGGTACATTTTGAACAGGCGGGTCGACTTCGGTCGCACTGAATCCGCATTAGTAAGCTTGTTCGCCATTGAAAAAGGGAGCCATCGTACCCCTTTACTGTCTGACATAGACGGGGGAGACAATCAGTATCGCGAACCTTTTTCTTTCGTTTGCGACAAGGTTCGCATGCGGGAACGTATCCGGCCTTGCGGACTGGACCGGGCAATGGCTGGTTTCCAGGTGAAGTCGACGATGCCGTCGGTAAAGGCGATGGCTGCAAAGCCCTCAGCTTTGGGGGAGCCATTAGAATGTAGTAAAGCGAGGCATTGGCAGCAGGGAGAAAAGCATAATCAACAGACACGTAGTCATTTACTGCAGGTTTTATTACTATGTGAAATTATTTGCCACTGTGTTGTCCCGCGGGGTCTAGACCTGCGCTTTGGCTGCAAGTCAGGAACAAGTTGCATGTGTTGGGCAGATGGGGAACGGGGATCGCGATTTGGGATTACTATGTTTTAACATGGGGAATGATGTACACTGGAAATCTAGATTCCCTGATGGAAACCTGATTGCCAGCATCGAATTGTAAGATTCGCCACTACAGATCACGATCTTGAAAATGCCCTGACGCTACTGGACCTGTCTTGACGTAACGGCTGAGTGATTAGGGTAATGATCTCCATTAAGCGGTTGGCAAGTAGCCTTTTCTCGGCTTAACCCGCTGAATCTCTCTCACATCCTTAATTTAGTATCACGGGAATGTGTCGGGTATAGCTTCTTTTCGTTATTGCCCCGGCTGTGCTTAGACGAGGAGATATAAATCGTGTTATCAAATATCGGAACTTGATATTATAATTAAGACCCTGATTTGAGATTTCCACTGTTAAACGCTTATCTTGACATTTTATATTATTTGCAGCTTAATATTAAAATATTAGCACTAACATGCTAGAAGATAATTTAAAAACAATTAATATATCTTTTAGAACTGTTATTTATCTCGTTCTTTTTTACTATCCATGCTTCCTTGTTATCTCTCTCTTATATTAGGAGAAGTACATATGCTATTGAGAAGGGAGATGTTGGTTTCGCTCAATTTCTCGTCAGCCATGACGCAGACGTTTACTCCCCCATGAAGATTGGCAAATATGGAAGTGTATTAGCTGCTGCTACTCTGGCGCCTGACTCCTCGTTTGACATGGCAAAGGTTCTTACCGAAGATGCTCATGTGGGTTTGGAACAGCTGAAATGGAGTTTACCTCATCAGGAGAAACCAGTAACTAAAGTCTGGAAGTTATCTGAGGAGCAAGAAAGATCCAGGGCCGAGAGAGCGGAATATCTTACAGATGTGCACGAGGTAGACACCCAAGTGCTCAGCAATTTGGAAACTTAGTGTGAATAGATCTGCATTCTCTGCACTGTGTATGGAATGTGAATTGCTTCGATACGGGTATGGCCACCTGGAAAGGAAGAAGGCGAGTTTTGATTATAAAAGACTGTAAGAAGTTGAGCAGATGGTTGGGTATTTTCAGTTGCCTTTGATAGCCACACTGATTGAGACTCCCATTCTTTCCAGGCTGCAGGCCACGTCGTGAGTCATACACAAAGTCAAGATCGATCTCGGGATGATATTAGTTAAAGTTTTCCGCAATAAAATTGCGCGTTTAGAGCATAACTCCGATGGTCACGAGACCATTGTTGCCTTGTCCTAGCACACGAGATTTCCCTCTGAAAAGGGTATAAAGGCCCCTCTTGCTTCCTCCATCATATTACCATTTCTTCTTTCACAATCATTAACGCCTACAACACAATATGCCTCATGACGCAACATTGGATACTCGACGTACATAGTCTTTTGAAGCAGTTGCTAACTCGCGGATATGGAAAGAAAGATGGCTGAGGGCGACCTGGACTGGTAGGTAAAAATTAATCCATCGCCTTCTCCAGTACCCCAACAAGCTTGATCTTGTGGGACCTCCAGCTTTAGGCAGCATGAGAAGCGCCAGGCAACAATGGATTCAAAAGTATTAAGGTTTGTGATGATAAGGACATTGCCCACTAATAATCTACAAGTTAACCTAGCATACGTCAACAGTTCAACATGGCTTTTTCTGGTTTATACGATACGCTTCTGGACATGTGACTCATAAATTAACTTTATCATCAACGAAGGTGCCAACAACATTTCTTGCCTGCACTCACTCACCATAGTTCATTGCAAAGGCGCTCTGTGAGCCTGTTCGATTCAATTTCAATAAGCTTCTAGAGGAGAATAAATTGCTGTCTTCCCTCTCCAATAGTTTCTGCCCGACCTTACTTCTATATCACCCCATCCAGAGAGACATCAACGAACGTCCACGCCTACTTCCACACAGAAGCCCAGCATCACCCCGCAAACAAAGCGCAAACACGTCGAGACCTAGCATCCGCGCACTGAAGACAATCATTTCCACGTCAAGATCGAATAAAGTCGTGCACAGGATCAAAATGTCATATTACGAGACCCGCCTCCACACTCTCCCGACTTTGGTCCAAACCGAGATCAACGTTCAAGTCGGACTGGAAGCCAGTCTTAGATCTCTTTTCAAAGCAATCCCGTCCATGCGCTCTCATTTCAAGCAGTACGAGATTAGCATCCTGCATGGTATCTTCCGAAACCATATGCCCGATGACCAAGAACGGAATATTCTCAAAGATGTTTTGGCGATCATCGATCTGGGTTCCGGCAAATACGACAATGGTGACTTCAAAGAGATGCTGTCTGATAGAAGACGAAACGAACTATCGCGTCCCCCTGATCTTCGTCAACTTCGACAGATTTGGCTCCTGATCAGCCGGATCATCATTTTGATCGAAGACTATGTGTCAAAAGCTACGAGCTTGTACCCTCCTCGTGCCTATATGGGACTTCCCGACCTCGAGTGGGGAACTGGTAGCAAGTTCAAGGGTCAGTCACTGGAAACCCGGCTGGTGTCATTTACGAGCTTGGGTCGCCATGAGAAGTATCGTCTCCTTCGTGCTTTCGTCAGGTATCAGCTGCTCTGCGAGGCCCACCGCACGTTCTCTTCAAGGTTCATGACTAAGGATATCTTTGAATCGCACGCCTTTGATGGGGATTATGCGCCTAATCTATTGGCCTTTTCTTCCACGCACGATTACTACAGAGCACTGTGGGGTGCTGTGTTTGCACAGTCTGGTGACTCATGGCTTCCCGAGCTACCTACCGAATGCCAGGGGGCACCAACAAGCCTTGTAAAGAGTCCGCGCCGGCTACTGTACCCTGATAATAGTTTTTTTGATGCAGAGAGGTACTTTAACGACCTGTCGCTTGGAACTGAACATCGACCCGATCTCGTGGACGAATTGGCCAACTGCGGTCTAGATCTGGTCTGTGGTACTCTTAACAATTTGAGCGAAGCACAAGACTGGGGGGTTCTCTTCAAGACCTGGTTGAAAGAACTCATCATGAAGGTCCCCAAATTCTCACCGTGGATCTATGAGATGGGTTACTATCCGCGGTGGGGTCGAAGAACGCTGGAAGAGCTTGTGCCCGAAGCATGGGAATTCTTCTCCTCAGAAGTCCTGTCCTCATCTGATCGAGATTCCCTGCGGCCCTACATTGCTGAGAACTTGCGAGTCCATCAAATTATCGCGGACGAACAGTTAGAGCTGTGCCAAAGGCCATATGTGCGTCAGGCTCAGATATATCGGCAACGAGCATGGGGCCTCTTCGATGACGAAAGACTATATGTCAACGCAACTCGCCCCTTCCCGACATTCGAGCAACTTCATGTTCTCGAGACTTTATTGGATCGCGAGGGTGGCCCTGAACTGCAAAGACAAAGAAGGTCACAGCTTTGGCAAGACCTTTGGATGGGCAAGCGTTCGTCCGTAATTGTTGGGGGCCTACGACAGTCAGATGACTCGGTAACACAGTCACAACTTTCAGGCAGATCGACTCCATTATGGAATACCTCCGGTCAACGTCTTTGGGGATGAAAAGGACAGCATGGCGGTGGCGATGAGCTTCATGTTTTTCGCGCTGGTTGAGATCTATTATCTGGACGAGCAATTGCACTGCTGCACCAGATGAAAGAATAAATACGGAGGGAAAAAAGATCAAGAAAATGGTGGCGATTCAATCAGAAGAAGGTAAGAATGAAGAAATAGACATTTATGTTTCATCTACTATGATCCCCGAAGACAAGCATCTCTCTTTCAGCCTATGGCATATGGATTCCTCCATCAACAGGAATAACTTGCCCAGTCATAAAACTCAACCCGGGACTCGCGACAAACAAAACAGCATCAGCAATCTCCTGGGGTGTACCCTCCCTCTTATCAACTTGATGACTCCTCAAAATCTCGCCAATCGGTGTACCCTCCATGGTCATATCCGTAGCGGTGGGACCGGGCGAAACAACATTGATAGTGATGCCCTTGCCCGCCAACTCGCCCGCCATAGCAGTCGACATGAACGTCAAAGCAGCCTTGGAAGTGCCGTACACAGTCAAGGGAGAAATGCCGAGCTTGCCTGCGATGCTGCCGATGTTGATAATACGGCCGCCACGAGGCATGTGAGGAAGAGCCGCTTGGATGAGGAGGAAGGGACCTCGTACGTTGGTGCGAAAGATGTCGTCCCAAGCTATTGCTGGAACGGCGGCGATTTCGGGGTGGAAAGTTGCTTGGCCTGCGTTGTTCACGACAATGTCAATTGTTTGCGTGTTCAGCCCTTCGAGAGTTGCTTTGACGATATCTGTTCCGAAGGATTCCGATGATGAATCTGCTTTAACAGCAATTGCTTGGACTCCGAATTTCTTGATTTCTTGAACGACCTTTTCAGCGCCCTCGGCACTAGAAGCATAGTGGACAACGATCTGGGGCTATTAGTATGAGATTGGCGATTGGAAGAAGATAGGCTTACGTTGGCACCGTGCTTGGCAAGAGAAAGGGCTGCTGCAGCGCCAATGCCGTTGAGCTTGGAAGAGCCAGTGACGATGGCAGTCTTGCCGGCAAGGTACTGTTCAGAAGACATCTTGGTGGTGTTTTTGGTGTTGTTGTTCTGACTGGTTATGTTTGCTGTGTTGAGGATGTTGAGAGCGAAGAGGATGTTTGAGTGTGGTGATGAGAATAGAAACTAGATTGTCTATGACAGTTATCTTTATATATACATATTAATCGTACTTCACGATGGATCTCATGTGGTTGATGCCGTGCGTGGACAGCTAACACAAAGTTCCACTTCCAGGATTGGAAATCCTTCTGGTCCTGATAATCCGTAATCATTACGATTGGTCACTTGAGTAAGCGACACGGAAGCCAAGACGGAGGTGGGCCCTCCAACACATTCTACAATCGGTATAGCGTCTGATATGCAAGGGGACGTTGGACGGTAAACACGGCAAAGGATGCAATTCTCAATCGCTTTCTCCATCCGATACGAAATACTTTTGCATGGGCAATGTTTTCGACTTTGCTGAGGTATATGTTCACAGGCAGAAGTGGGCAGAGGAACAGGTACCCTGAACTCGATGGAACTTTTTCCAGCTTATGATTGGCTGAGTCTCGACTCGGAGGTTTAAGACTTCCGAGATGCGAAAATGTCTTCGTGGTTCGGACTGTTCTATGAAGCTCATTCAATCTAATTGGCTATGCACGATCCTTCTGGAATAATTGAGAGTGCGGACTCCGAAAAGGATTCGCTTATAGACGCATTGTTCGCGCAGCCATATCTTTCGCCTTACGACGATCCAGATTAGTGGATCGCCATGCTAGCTATGTGAGTGAACATGAGACGGAAGCTGCTCGGAAGGTCTCTGCAAACAAGATCATGTGACACCCCCTACTGCGACAGGCTGATGAGTAAAATTGCCATGGTGCATATTGAATGGACACATTGTTCATTTTGAGTGAGATAAAACCACCAATCGAGCTCGATAAGTTTCGCCGACAACAGATTCGCAATTGATGATTGGGCAGCTCTGTGCCAACTCCCGTGTAAGTGGGTATGTCTCCGTAAGCGGGCTTTACCAAGCACTATCGCTCAGCAATGGAGGGTCCATTCCGAGAACGCTAAGCCTTACACATTGTGGCTTATCTCTGTCAGCGTCAGTGGACTCACATGTCCGGAGTCTCGATATGCTAAATGGAGGATAGCGTCTACGTTATAGATATGGAAATATGATGGGAATGGCCATCTAACTTCCGTGATTGGAAATAAGCCTTGGTGGACGACTAAGCAGTATCTTGTCAGTGATGGCTTCAAAAAGGGACCACATTCTATATATGAGCTAAAGGATCTCTAAGAATTGTTATTTACACTTCCATCTCAACAAATCCAACTACTCAACTCTCCCAATTCCTTATCACAATCAACACACATTCACCACAACAAATTCTCAAGATGCCTTCAGTAATTGTATACGGTGCATCTGGCTTCGTCGGTGGTATGTTCAAGGCTCCAGGATTACCCAATTCTTACTAATAACCCGATCAGCTCCCTATACTAGGGCTCTCAAGCAAGCCCATCCGGACTGGCAAATAACCGCCTACGTCCGAAGCACCAACCCCGACCTCAAAACCACCCTCAATGTAGACCGCATTATTACCGGCGACTTCACCGATTTCGAGAAAGTCAAAGCCGCTAGCGTAGAGCACGACATTGCCGTCAACGCTGGCAACTCTTTCACCTCTGAGCCCGTTGCCGCAATCATCGCTGGCCAACAATCTCGTGCTATCAAGGGAAAGATCATTCACATTAGTGGAGCAGGAAATTTCATCGACTTTGGAACGTCGGGCAATTTCAACCCGGGGAGCAAAGTCTGGAATGATGCGGATGAGGATGATATCCGGGCTATTCATAAGGATATGTTTAATGGACAATCTGATACGCTTGTCCTGCAAGCCGAGGGGATTGATACCTATGTCGTTTGTCCTTCAGTTGTTTATGGCGGCGCTAGTGCTGGAGTGAAGACTATGGGTGTTGGATACAGTCTCTTGACTGGCAATGCCAAACCACTGGGCTATGTTCCTTATGTTGGTGATGGAACAGCCATTCTGAGCACGGTATGTCAATCCCACTCTATACCTTACAAACTTATACTGATCATGCAGACCCACGTCCTCGACCTCGTTGACTTTCTCGTCAAGATCTCTGATGTTGCAGCCCAAGGGCCAGCAGAAGGAACACCATACAGCCGATACTATCTGCTTGAAACAAGCCGCGTCGAGTGGAAGGATTTGGCCACTCAACTTGCCAAGGCGATGCACGCACGAGGAATCTTCCCAAGCCCAGAGCCCAAGAATGTTCCCTTTGAAGAGGCTGGTGAAGATGAGGTCAAGCATCTCGTTGCGGCGAACATGCTTATCAAGGGCGATCGTGCTGCGGCTATGGGTTACAAGGCGAGGTATCCTAGTATTTTGGAAAAGATCCATGAGGATCTTAAAGAGGTTGCAATCTAGTTAAATTATGATATAGTGCGGTGAGGTAGATCTAAAGGAATTCTAAAATCAAGCCTTGTTATGTTACTGGCTAAGTGGTGTCCACCGTCCTTTCTCCACATCTTCTCGAATCTTCCCCGCAACTTCAGGAGATGCTTCGCCAAAGTGACCCGTATCATCCAACCACTTTTTCTCCTCATCAGTGATGACCCTTCCAAGAATAGCATTCCGGTATGGATATCGACCGAATCGCTTGATGATAGGCCAGTGAGAATCCAGAATCATGCACCACCAGAATGTCCAGTGCGTGATACTGATACTAGACTCTCTTTCATCAACTGGCGGGCCCTTGACAACCTCGCGTAAGAAAAGAAGATCATCCTTCAAGGTGACATCCCTCGTCTCGCGGTAAGGATCATTCTTTCCAGTACGTTCTTCAACGGCTCGGCGCAGCTCCTCGGAAAGGTCGAGTCCAATCTGCTGACTTTCCAGATCCTCTGCGTGAAGAAATGGGGCAGCCCACATGACTTGAGTAGCAACCCAATAACTAAAGCTCGTTACATCCATATCCTGCCATCTTCGCCATTTATCCGGACGCTGTTCCTCCGGTAAAGCATACCACTGCCCAGCGAGACATCTTCCCAGTGGCCCAAAGTATCCAGATTGCCAACGCGCATCAATACCAGGAAACAAGATCCGAGAAGCCTGGTCGAGCAGCAGTTGAAGACCGAAGCACTGTTGCGGGAAGTCTTTCGCAGTTGGCACAGGAAGAAGTGTCATCAAGTCCAGGTCTGGCAGGGCTGCGTCGGGACTCAGTTGGCTGAGAGTGATGAGGGCCTGTCTGGCATTGCTTGACTTGCAGACACTGTGAAAGTGTTCCTGGGTTTCCTTTGACTCCACATCGGAGAAGTTGAGTTCCTCAGTTTTGGAGAAAGGGAGATAACCCTCTGCGATTTGAGCTAAGAGGGCTGGAGTCACGAGTGATGTCAAGGGTTCGTGGTTGGTCATTTTAAGCAAGGGCAATTGTATCAAGGTCATATAAACGCAACCCAAGATACTGAAAGATTCATGAGTTTGTAGATAGATATGATAAGTAAAATGTAGCAGCTTAAATGTTGACAGAAAGAGGGGTTGCCCAATAATAACTCGTCAGCTTATATTTCATGTCATCATTAGTCATCAGGTCTGGCTATCCGGTTGAAACAAGGTACCAGGAGTCATCCTTGCCCTTGGTACCCTAATTTAATTCAACTCAATCGTTCTCTCATCTTGAACCACGATCTTCCAATCTTCAAAATATATTCTTAATGTTCCGATCCTCCTCTACTGCTCAACAGAGTCCGAACTTTGGCCCGTTGACTCGAGAACAAGCGCATGAGCGATCATATCACCATCACCCTCCATATCCCTGCCAATCCCCTCCTCAACTCCAACTAGCAGGCAGGGGCAAGAGATGTGTGGTATTTTGGAACCCGTGAAGTTATCCAAATACAGGTATGTGGGTCCGCTGCCGTTGAATGACTCAAACGAGTTGAACACGGTCTTTCGATGGCGCTCGAATCCCATCTGGGACAGATTCAACTTTGAAAAGCTTCCCCGGAGTATTAGCCGCCAGCTAAGTAGCTGTCCTGACGTCTCTGACCCTTTCGACTTGACCTCACACTCCACGATCTCACACCGTGTTTCCCAGGAAGATGCATTCGTAAAGAAAACACGATGTCGGTTAGAAGCCCAGCTCCAAGAAGGTAGGTTGAGTTGCTGCTGATCTGTGTTCAGCTGTGTGGTCTCTGTAGGTTTTCCACTAACCCAAATGAGACCTAACGGAAAGTTTGACTCCCAGAGGCCAGCAATATATCTTTGCTTAATTCTTTTCTGGATTATGCTTGCAATTCCAGATAATGCAGGCAGTCTATCCGAGTAGTACGAGAATTCTGCGCGAGAATATTCTCCGATAAAGGACATCCATCCTTTGAGAAGGAGGTCAAGTGGTAGGTTTTCGTCGTCGAGTCTCTGGAAGTCTGATAGAAAGGTCGAAGAAATGCTTCCCCGTCTTGGATCTGGCTGCCCGGGGTTCAATCCCGCAGGATCAAGCTCACTAGCTCTCATTTCCTGACACTCCCAGAGAATCAGATTTGGCCCAAAGTGCAATATTCTCTTCGATAGGAATCTCTCTTGTAATGCCCAGCCCCGAGATGCAAGGGGAGGAAATTCCATCTCAGACTCCCAACTGGGTATGAAGGACCGTAAAGTCAAATCAATATGTTGAATTTTCACGGACTTTGGGGATAATACCATTTCGGATCTGGGCAAAAAAAGCCCTTCATGGGACGATATTGCTCCAGTGGCTGATATTGTAAGCAAGGCATTTTGGTAATAATACCCAAATCTTTCTGCCTCATAAGACCAATCCTTGATATGCTCCATATCATTACGACCCTCTCTCTGTAGGATGCACAACGCATCAACCCATAAGTATCTAATACCCAATTCTCGTGTCAAGTGAATAGCGTCTCTGACCGTTTTGGGTAAAGCGCTCCAAGGTAAAGACTCGTGCATGGCTTGAAGATTAGATGATGTTGTCTTCGCGAAGTCGGCAGCTGGGCCCCACGCGTAACTGAGAATCAAGTACTCAAGATTTAACAGGTCATGATCGGGGCTGATGAGCTTAGGCCGTTGGGAATCCAGCCCTACGTCAATCAGTCTGGTCGGTAATATTCTTTCTTGATTTGCGTCGTGCGAGGCATTACGACAATGGTTTTGGCGACATTTGTGGAGCCATTCCGACGCCATGTGTGTGATTCTTCCAAGACTTCCGGGTGCCGTAGGATCAATAATATCTTTGCATCTCTCTTTATAGTCCTCAAATTGCCTCGCGTCAGACTCATCAACAATGGCAGGCAATCGAAAGGGTTCCCTACGGCTTTCGCAACTGACAAACAGGTAGAACGTCCCACTAGCCCTTGATCTATAAACTGTGATTGGACTTGAACCTTCTGGGTCTGAGACGTCTGAGTTGTAGTTGCGAGATTGGTTCACGATCTGGCATAGCGAACAGCCTTGGTCCGCCGACGCCTTGACAGCCGCCCAATTCGGAAAGCGATTACTTCTTATATACTCTTCGCCAACCTTTACAAGGGACTCTTGCCAGGAAGCGCACTTAGTGCAAAAGGAATCTGTCATAACGCACAGGTGGTACGGTGAAGGCTTGGGTGATTGTAAGAAGCCAAATGATTGACCCCGCACTTGATTCTGAACGTCAGCAGATTAGTCATTCTTAGGCAGACCTGTGTTACCTAAAACAGACCCTTTTCTATATCTGGATACAAAATTCCGTATTCTCTCTATCAATACTGTTACAATAGTCCTGACAATTGTTTAATAACACCTCTACTAAAGAGACAGTACAGAAGGTTAATATGGGCCCCGATTTAGCTCTAATAGATTAGGTATAGCGTTACCAATCAAGGGAAGAGTCCGGGGTAAGAAGTTAGTCTAATTACAGTAGTCAGAGTTATAGGTGACAAGTGTCCCAAATTTCCGAAATTTCCATACCACACCTGTACATCTCTCGCCGAACGTAATGTCCTACCCACTTGATAGAGAAGATACCGAACCAACAACCCAAGAACCAGGATTGACCTCCGGTCATTTAAAGCTTGTGCAACCTGTCGAGCCCGAAAGGTCCGACGTATCATAGAGGACCGCCGCCCCGGTAGTAAATGCATCCAATGCCTCAAGTAAGTGAAAGGTCTGTCGAGCTGCTCGTGGCTAAATATGCAACTCCAGGGATTCCCGCGATTGTATCTTTGAGCCCAAGAAACGTACCTATGATACAAGCACGCGTACGAAAAGGGCTCGTGAGAAACGAGCCCGTCTTTCTACTATGGAGACGTCGCCTCCACCAGAAACGAGTGTCCGTTTCTTCATTGCTTCTCGATCTAGCATCGCTAAAGATAACACGTTGTCCAATAGCCTCATGATGACCTGAATATTCGCACCTCGGCTGATGCCCTCTTGTATCCATCCGGTGCCGCGACGCGACACAATGACGAAGCAGCCTTGCGCTCCAACCTGGGCCAGGACACCTCTACATCCGCCATTGACCAGACTCCTTCTACCCGAAATGACGATGTCGCGACGTTGAGAGCGATAGACAGCCATAGTAAATCGGTTCGCGCTCAGTCTCCTCCCTCTCCCTGCGACAACCCACATATCCAGGATTCAATGTCAACGTTCCGATGCAGGCTCTTCTACGAACACATCGTCACGCCCAACGAGGCGTTAGCCCCTGTGTCTTTCGTCTTCCGAAATTTCTATCCATTCTTCCCCTTCCTCCCGGATGTCTATTATACCTGCTTCACGAGAGCAAATCCCGATCTGGGTCAGTTACGGTCTCTGTTCGAGGATGATGATATACTCCTTGGGTGCACCATCACCGTCTCGAGCCGATATTGCCACCTTCCCAAATGCGCTGTAGGGGGATACGAGAGAAGCTGTGATATCCATAAGTCCTCTTGGCAATGAACAAGACAAGTTTCGAGGGTCGTGTTTGCTGGAGTGAGGCCAAGATCTGTTCTGTCTGTTGTTGAAACACTGCTGATGCTGGCTGAATGGTTGCCGAAGCCGATCCACGCAATGGTCGAGAATAACAATCAACAGCTTGGCAACCCAGCGTCATCGAGCAAGTTTGTCAGCGATGTTATATTACAGCCGGCCTTTCCGAACCGACCAAGTATCATGGTATGTACTAAAACCATATTCTTGTAGAGGTCTATACTGACTGTGAGTAGGACCTATGTCGGCAACGCCTTTCTTCTCCGATCCATCGTCCCGAATCGGAGGATATGTCCCATCACCAAGACCTCGAATCGCTATCTCGTAACCTTATTCAGCTGCTTGATCATGTCACAATCTCTCGGCCGTCGCCTAAGTCGCCCAGGGCTTATGACCTTTGACGACGTCGACCTCGGTCAGATCTACAAGGCCTTTCGCGAACGCAACGAGAGACTCGTCGTCTCAAGTAGAGAAACGGGGATTGATCTTGGTTACAGCCTGGGAATATCCGATCGCCCGCACAATGCATTCGTTGAGTTGATGAAGCTTCTTGATCAGGCACAACATGTTCTGCATCCGCCAACATGTGATGGGATCGTTGAGCCAAAGCCCGACGCCTTCGAGATGCCGTCGCGTCTTATTACCCTTCTGTAACACTTTGACGCAACAATGGCTGGAAATCCCAGTTTATTGACTTGATAGAGTGTAGGTATATCCTTTCTTGATAGATACCATACACTAACCAGACATTGTAGCCAGCGAGAGTGGTATGTAGATTGATGTAACCCAGCTGGGCGATAGTCACCCCAAGTTCCGCTACTTTACTTAAGAATCGCTATTAGACAGGCTAAGGGGAAACTCTTTATGGATTACATCATGTTCTGAGATGGCTTTAGATAGCATCAGTATCTGAACGCGTTATTAAACCCTCCCTTAGGCGGGTTTCAATAAAATCAACGTTGCGCTGAGTTTCCTAAATATCTTGACCAAAAGTAACGACACAGAACGGACCTGGGAATGAGATCATTAGTCTAGGCTCGGTTACTCCATTAACTAATCCCAATAAATACACGGCGGCACCAATTTGCCGGTAACTAGCACGGTACTACCCGAATACTGGTCTAAACATAGGTTAGCTCAAGCCATGCAGAAACTCGAATGACGCAGTTGTCCTGTCTGCCACGGTGGCGCAGGTCTCAAGCAAACGCCTCATTACCTCACTACCTACGCTTAATATAGCTCAAGCCTATCTTGTCAGCTTACAATCTATTTTGCGTTAGATACTACGGGCAGACGGGAGCGCTTGAGGCAGAATGTTGGCTAATACGATAATGCAGCTAGAATCCCAACTACTACGTAGTATTCTGACCTACACTAAGACTGACTACACCATCTCCTCCGTGCTGACCAGTCTTACCGGATTTATATAATTAGACAATCACCAGTGAAATCTGCAGTTCAGAGAAGGCACGAATAACAGTATCTCTCAAGCATCAGCCGATCACATCTTTGCTTTCAGAACAAATTTCGGTCCGGTATTACTTGTACCACAATGCACTCATCGAAAGAGGCGCCCTTGACCACGACAAGTGCATTTCTAGGCGGCGGTATTGCAGCTTGTGGTGCCGTCACGGCTACCCACCCATTCGAGACTGTGAAGATCCGGTAAGCTACCATTGTCCACCAAGCCTATTGAGAACATACTGATACGATCTTCAATCCAGCATGCAGCTTCAAGGCGAGCTTCGAGCAAACGCGATACGAGACCAGCATTATCGCGGGCCATTTCATGGCGTCAGCGTCATTTTGCGACATGAGGGTATTCGCGGTCTCTATCGCGGTCTCGGCTGCGCCTACATCTATCAGATCCTCCTCAACGGTTGCCGTCTAGGATTCTACGAGCCCATGCGTGTCTCACTGGGCAATCTACTCTACAATGATGAAAAGGTCCAGAGCCTCCCGATTAACATCTTATGTGGCGCCACATCAGGCGTGCTTGGCGCTGCCGCTGCAAGCCCATTCTCCCTTATCAAGACCCGTCTACAGAGTTGCTCAACGTTCTTCCCTGTCGGAACCCAGCATCTATACCGCAATGCAGCCGATGGGATGGTTAAGATTTACTGCACGGAAGGCATCCCTGGTCTTTACCGTGGAGTAAGTGCTGCGATGGTCCGGACGGGTTTCGGTAGTTCCGTTCAACTGCCTGTCTACTTCTTCACTAAGCGAAAGCTACAAGAGACAGCTGGTTTGGAAGAGGGAGTACTTTTGCATCTTGGTAGTAGCGCTATAAGCGGTTTCGCTGTTTGTTGTTTTATGCATCCACCAGGTGAGTTCATCTTGATTTTACCATATTGCAGAACCAGAGCTAAGACTGAAAACTTTAGACACCATCATGTCCCGCCTCTACAATCAGAACGGTAATCTGTACACAAGCATGTTCGACTGTTTCTCAAAAACTATACGAACGGAAAGCCTTTTCGCTATCTATAAGGGCTTTCTGCCCCATCTCGCACGGGTTTTGCCGCACACTGTTCTTACACTATCTCTGGCGGAACAAACGACCAACATCATAAGAAGGATCAGCTACCACGCTGACTCCTCATGGGTTGCAGATGCAGACGTTATGTAAAATGACCATATTATAAGACCCATGAGCCATGTAAAATACATATTATTTTAGAGTACATAGAGAGTGTGGATATAGGAACATTAATAAACTTCCTAGAATTCTCGATAGCTGATAATGTGATTAGCTCTGTATTAATTTAATATAATCTAACGCATGATGTAATCTTGCTAGCAGAAGTAATTACAATGTAACTTAAATTAGAAAAGTTTCCATATTTCAAAAATCGTGTATTCGAGTAAAATAATACAATTATTACGTTGCTGTGCTTTAAGCTAAATATTTCTTGCCTTAAACGTCTGCGTGGGCAGCAGATCCTTCAGGGTGGACCGTCTAAAGCCATGTCATATAATAACACCAAAAAGGAATGGTCAGTCTTGTACAAAGCTCGGATATCCCTAGAACCTCGCCGTCTGGGTTATACTCTAGCTACGGGCAATGTAATCCAGCCACGTGTGAATACCCTCAATCAGTCGATCCCCAATAACCGAATCAATCAGACCGTCTTGCCAGCTAACATCAATGCAAAGGTCATTACCCTTGGCAGTGATGACACTGATGTTGAAAATTGGCGAGATGACTCCAGCAGCCAAAGAGAACTTGCTTTTCTGAATAGACCAGCACGACTTGTCTTCAGACTTGCAAACTCCATCAATTTCGCCCAAGTTAGTGACCAGCCACGAGACAGCTCTGGGCTTTGCCATTTCGTCCTTCATGTATTTTTCCCAATCTCCAACCACTGCCATTAGACCGACGAGGTCATTCTTTAATCCAAGGTCAAGTTTGGCTTGTATTTCTTGGCGTACGAGAGCAGCAGCAGCCCACATGTCTTTCTCTAGGACAGTGAACCGTTCCTCCACATCAACACTTTGAGTCAGCCTCCAGACCTTGTTGACCAAGTCTTTCCCGAACTCATGCTCCATTCTCGTCACATAATTACCGATCAATCTTTTGGGGTCGATCGTAGGTGAGGCCTCGGCTTCGGGCTTGATAAAACGTCTCAGGCTGAGCGGAGTTTCAGCCATGATTGAAGCAATCTTGCTCTCGGGCAATTCACCGACAAGACACACAAACGTTATTCCGTGCAATAGACCTGTCAAAGTCGTCTTGTGACTTCGACAAGCCGTCAAAAGCTTTTGAAGGGTGGCTTGTCTGATGGTTAAGGTTCTGAGTTGCGTCTTGCAAGGGGTTCTGGTTATGTCCGCCCAGGATACATAGGTGGTCTTTGAAACGAACATGGGGGGTCCAAACTCATGCCAGACGCTATTGAGGGCGAATTTAGGAGTGATGCGATACTTGGCAATAACCTCCTGCGAGGGCAACATGTTCTGTGCTGAAGCTGTAGTCTGATAAATATGGTTTTCGAGTGAGATTTGGCTTGCGCCAGCCATCACCGAGTTCAAAGATTGTAGCAAAGACTCGTGAAATATCTTGCCTCCGGTCCCATCACAATTAGCATGGCACCAGACAAACATGATGTCAAGTAGGTTTTGCTCCTCGAGTTTCAAGACCACCAACCGCCATCCTGGGTGGGTCGCACGATTTTCGAACTTGGTATCCAGATGGCGTTGAGTAAGATCTCTCAACGTATCATGGTAATTGTCGAGTTGATTGACAAGCTGCCATTCGATATGTTCTGTCAAGTTCACCTGGTCTATTCGACACCAAGCGGCGCGCTTGGTTCTTTCGTTTACAAGCCCAACCTGGAGCAGGGGGTGCTGGTCGATGGTGTCCGCTACGGCGAGTTCCACCGTTTGTACTAGATCATCGTGAGAAGTAGGATTTTGAAGGCTTTCGGGAATGTTGTAAAGACAAGTGATGCTGGTGCCGCGATATAAGTCCATCGTCTGTAATGCATTCTGCATACGCTCGCTGAGGAGATCAGTTAGTTTCGGAAAACTTGCTACTACTATAGGTTAGGGTCAATCCTGGACCTACAAATGACCAAGCCGCCGAATAATGGGCTGTTCTGTTTTTCGAGACTTTGAGAACGACATGGTGTTTTTTCTGTTAAGGGGTCAATAATCTGATTTTCAGTCAAGAAGCTAGAATACAAAGGCTCGATATCAACCGAGTTAAAGAAAACAGTAGAAGAATTTAGCCTGGCCGTAAGCCCTCAGCTTCTCATATATATACTTTCAATTCCCCCAGGATAGCGGGGGGTGCGGGTCAATGCGTCCCGGGGAAATTAGACTAATAAGAAAAAAAAAACAGTATTTACTGTGCGTACAGCCCACAGGGGTGCATCTTTCCCAACGGGAATACTTTAACTTAACTACGGATATAGCCAGTCATTTACTAGCTATGTATTAACTTACCACTAGGTAAGATAGAGGCTAATAAGGACGTCTTGATTCAGCGGAATATACGTGGGAAATAGCGGAAATTGGGAAAATAAGCCCTTGCGGGCTGTAGTGATGCGGTCTAGCTGATATTGGTAAAGGTTGGAGGATGTGCAACCTAGCAGCCTTTTCGCAATCGCATTCACTACCACTCGGAGCAGGGAAGACCCTTGTAGATCTGAAGGATTGCTGACACAAAGGCTTGTAGGATTGTCCGGATATTAGGCCATTTGGTTGTGGTAAGCCGTTTGACGCTGTGGCTTACAGGCGCAGGCGACATGAATAAAAGGCAATTGGCTCTGGTTAATTTACTTATGAGACATTTAGCTGGACAGTAATCTCAAAGCAATAGTCCTTCGTTCTAAGCTTTTACCTACCTCACATTCTGATTGGGGTTATTATACAAGCCAGTAACCTTCTCCCAGCTCAGCCATTGCCATCTGAATGTAATGTCCCTCTCAATTTCACCCTCCTGGCGCGGAATCCTACATGCTAGTACAAGGCATGCCTCACGTTGCCCATGTACTATTCGTCGTCTACCCGTAGCATCGTCACGTTCTCTGTCATTTGTTATATTCTGAGGTCTGAGATCGAGACACACAAGGGCTGAACCGCTCTCCATCATGACCTCCAAGATAACCAAGCCGCTAACAAATAGAGTACCCATCTTGGGCTTGATATCGACAGAAAAGCCTTCTGATCCGGTTTTAGCGAAGACGCCATTATAAGGTCCCCGAAGTTTCAGAGGTAATTCATGTTCTGAAGACAGTAGATGCATGATAATACCTTGCTCGTCCAGATTTGTTACACTTGCGAGCTCGTGAACGCTCCGACATGTAACGCGTCCTTTCAAGAAGTCTCTCCAGGTCCATTCAGCGACTCGTAGGCTCTTGCATACCACGATGATGAATGCAGCAACGATCCAAGAAAACATCGTCAAATTGAAGGGATCTACACCGTCGATTCGGGATCCGACAAAGAATCCAGCCATCAGGCCTCCCAGAACAAGAATTGCACAGCCCGTCAAGACGGTAATGGTATAGCCCAGACAGCTGACACTGATAGCTTGGTCTTCCACTGCCCATCTTCGAGCTGAGGTTGAGATTCGCCTGCGCATGGATTCGGATGTATGCAGCTCCTTCTGAGTAATAGCATTGGAGCTCCAGTTCCAAGGAATAGTTTGACGGTCTCTGAAACCTGACAATATACGATTGCCACTATGCAAGATGAACGATTCGGATAAAGGGCGACTGTCTTGGAGTATCGTTCGATTTACCTGTGGTGGAATAGTCTTAAGACTTGCAAAAGAGGCATGACATTTTACTGTGCTGTAAATGACTGGAAGGACGGTTGATGCACGTATTGTATCGCAGACAGGAACCATATCCTCGATCAGAGTTGGATCCACGGACGAGAAAATAACCATGATACTGATGAGATCTGCCATCGACCTTATCTTAAAGCTCTGGTCAGGGAATGACTTCCCGGCCCCAATAGATAGTGTACATTGGGCCACCTGTTCAATTTGAACAGCTTGCGTACGTTCCTTCTTGATAGAAGCGGCAGTATCCATCATGATCTCAAAGGCTCGGTGATACATTGCAACTGCGACGCTGGACGAGGAACCCGAGATGTGGCCGGGTCGATTCTGATAGACCAAGGTAGAAACACCGCGTGAGCCAGCTGAAAAGACAGTAGCAGATATCTCGAACTCATCCGTAGTTCTGCCTCTAGTATTGCGAGTTTTCATATCAGTGAGAATATGCCATAGAAGACGGAACAGCCAGTTCGATACGACACCCATATCGGAGACATAATCGGCAAGATAGCTGTCACTGGATCCAATAGTTAACTTTATCGTAGCTATTCTTATGTTCAAATCAACATCGGACAAGTTATCTCCAGCATAGAACTTATGTAGGTCAGGACACTTGCGAAGGTTGTCATAAGTTATCAGAGTTTCGAGGAGAAATTCATGAAGGTTATGTGACAGAGCCTTAAGCTTTGTTGAGAACTTTGCAAGAACAGTGACGACAATGCCCAGCCAGTAAAGCTGATGTCGATTGAATCCCGTCAACAAAATACGAGCCAGCGTAGCTGTGATGTAGTCGACGAGAAGGTAGTACGTAACCGCATCGACATCATCCAAAGTCACCATCGGTGGAGGAACCGTCTGAGGAACCTGTCCACTCCAGATAGCCTTGTGAGGTACACTTGACATGGGGACTCCACGAACTTGATAGGTTTCAGGCCTATACCGCGATTCATCTTCCAACTTCTTGAAACTTCGACCGACAATAGATCCATTCGGAGAAGCAGCTGCAGAGCAATGAGTCTCAAGGACCGAGCTGTCATCTAGCCCACACATTGATAATGCACACAGCATCTGATCAGAAAGCTTTTCAAGATAGGTAAACCCTGCGGTGTCAATGGCGGAGAGCATTGTAGAGCTGCAGTCAGGGTTGAAAGTCTCGGGTGCTGCTTTCAAGTTGTCTATAAGTCGAGCCGCTTCTATCTCCCACAAGCTATTCTCATCTTCGTTGCTGATGGAATAGCGAGACAAATCCCCAAACCTGGGCTGCTTGGCCAAGGCTAGCGTTCTGGTCTGCGCGTCGGTAGGTGGAGCATTTCGTAACGACCTTGCGAGTATGAGAATCTCGTCAGCTAGGTCCTGCTGATCCTCCTGGTATACGTTATCTTGTTGCGTCCTTTGGTTGTCTAATCGACTTTTTGTATTCTCGGAATTAGCAGGTTGATTATTCTGGGACGAAGCAGTAGTAGCCATGGGAAGATATCTCGCATATAATCTGACAACTTAAGGCGGGAATGAAAGGAAATGGCTGTATCAAGTTTTTGAATGTGACGAGAAATGATAAAGCGGGGTCAAAGCAGCAAATGCATTGATCTAAATAGGCAGGTAAAGCACTACCTGCAGTCAGCAACTTGGCAACAATGGAATGCTCCATCAAGAGTAAGCCCTAAATTTGCGGTATTTCTGAGTTTCACTGTCCCCTCTTTCTTATCCCTGTAAATGTTCCAAGCAGAATTAGTTTCCTCCTGAGGAGTTTTTCAGAAATGATCTCGGCCTGATTCCATATATCAGCTTATAGAATCTACAATGGCAGCATCAGAGCTCTCTAATTTCCAGAGATTCCAGCAAATATTGAAAAAGCCTCCATTGGCCATGGTGGGTGAAAACGACGTTACGGAGTCGAAATTACCCGGTACGTGCCATGTTTTAATGGTTACCTTTTGACCAAAGTGTTTGGGAAGCACGAAATGTATTTGACAATGACGGTCTAACGAACACAGCACCACCACCCCAAGCACCGTCATGGGACGGGAGTGAGCATGAATTTTCTCTTAGAGTCCCTTTTTCACGCCAGAAGTTTCGGTCGGATAAACAGTCGCAACTTTACGTAGAAGAGAGAGACGCTCCAGAATTGTCAGGCAAGTGCTCTTCTTCAGTGGACGCTGCTTGTCGTTAAGGCTCATAGGAAGAATGGAACACAGTTAATACTTACCAAGTTGCTAATAAATATTGCATTGATAGCTACTACATCGCAAGATTCATACAACCCGATTTACGACCCGCGTGAACCCGATGAAACTTCTTCTATAGTCCCCTTTTTGCAAGAAACGGCTCAGTGGGATAAGCAGTCGCAACGCTATTTAGAGCATGCAGAAATCCCAGACGAGAGCTGGACGGTATGGAAAGCTATTGAGCACAACAAGAAGCCTAAAGCGTGGATTCGACACCAGAAGACGTTTGATAAGTTAGGCGTGAAGATACTTGATCGGCTATTGATTCGAGCTGATGATGCAACTTTGAGGTTCTTGAATGAAAAAGGATATCCATTTTCCGGTCTCGATGCTTCAATTGATCGAGACGACACAGGCATCTTTCGAAGAAACTTCAACGAAGAAAGGTTTTACAGGAGATCAGAGAATGCTGAAATTGATGAAAAGCTATTCAGGAACTTGTTCCTCCGATATAATGATATCCAGGAGAAGATTGAGGCCACATCACTAGCAGTGGTACGGCGGATCCTCATTACACTGATAGACTTCCTTGACTACTACTTCCCTGGCGCCAGACAAAGCTATCAGGATGCCTGTAGCAGTGGAACGATCTCATTCTCACATCTTTGGACGCTGTTTCGACCCGGGGACATTTCATACGAGAAACATACTATCGCGCCATTCCAGGATGTATACGAGCAATGCTTTGGTGTTGACGCATGCGAGGAGTCTGTGAGCCAATATGACGGTACCAGGGTACTTCTTCTACGCTTAGCAGAGATAACTTACAGCCCTGGCCAGCACCACAATCCAGGCCCCAGAATGGGTATGACGACTCGTCACATACGCGAGTACGATGGAGTCAAACAAGTGACCGTGGAAGACTTGGGTATTATACCTTTCAGTCTGATGGAGGTGGAGAAGCAGGATGCTATAAGGGCGAAGCTAGTCCAAAGGGGGCGTCGCTTCTTCCAGGTTTCCAAACTTCCATTTAGCTTTTGGAATTACAAGGGACCATATACAATTGTACATTCATTGACGGGGAAGGGAACAATTGAGGAAGCTAGACTTTCTTCAGCAGAACGTCATTGGCAGGTGAGACAGATGTTGAACCGTTGTCCTGTGAATGTACCGCTAACGCCATGACTAGAAACATACCCACGAGAACGTAGTGATCGATATAACTACTTCGAAGGTTCACTTCGGCAGTCGGTTCTATGGCGAACTGGAAAGCTACAACAGCAGTGAATTCTGCACAAAACGAGAAGACCCACGAGTTATCCCTCCAATCGACGTTACAAATGATGATCCCACTACGGAGATGTTGCTCTTGATTTGTCGGGGACACTTGCCTGGCTACATGCTCTCTTCGAGCGTGTATGCAGTAGGTATTCTGGTATCGGAACTGCGTCCACCAATGTGGGCACCACAGCCACTTCCATCAGTAACAGCGTCGTTATTGCCAGATTCGGTACATTGGCGTGGTTTGGTGCATTGCTTCCTTGGGGGAAGTGAGAAGCTAGAAGTAGACCTTGGACAACGCCAGACCCAGGGTAGTGGTCTTGTGTTGTCGTTAGAAGGATCGAAAATTATAGCTAGAAAGGTTGCGAATGGTAAGTACATTCTCATCTGCTGACAGGTTTTCCAGAGCTAACATATATCTAAACAGAGATTTCTGGACACCTGGAGAAACCTTTATTGTGTATTACTATTCTCGATCACAATCTCAAGTTGGAAGAAATTACTAAAGCGGCACTTCGTTGGGGAGCTATACTATTTATAGAGTTTCGCAATATGCCTCCTAATCAGTTCCCTTACAAATGTAGGTGCCTATTTCAACATATAGAGCATCAGCAACTCTAGGATATTTACTGACCTTTCTCTCAAGCTTTAGACTTACGCAACCTCGCGTCTTTCTACCCAAGCGTCATGCTGATATCATGTACCTCGACCAAAGAGCTAGGGGCTCACTGCGAAGAAATGATCGACAGCGTGATTTCATGCAGACTGCCCTCGAAAAACGAGCCTACTGCCTTATGGGAATTGGCTATTGCTGAACAAACTCCAGATTTGTCGACAGACATGTCTGGCAAACAATTGAGTGAGATTTGTCAATTCCTGGCTCAGCTCGAAATATGTGAGACACGGATGGAGAAAATCCTGAAGACAGCTAAGAGAATGGCAGCGATTGAAAAGGTTCGGTTTTCTCTCGAGCATGTCGTTGCTGTGATTAGATTATCGGTATACCCAGACAAGCTCACCGAGTTTGAGGGTGTAGTAAGGATGGGATTACAGAAACTCGGGTATAATTAAGCAGATTCTCATTTTCTCTCATCTATTTAGATGAGAAATGCTCCTACGCAAGTTGAACTTAACATCTATACTATACTTAGTAAAGACTAGACCAGTTTGTTTTAGACAACCTAAACCTAATCTTGTTTAGATGGGAACACCTGCGTGACATTTCTGTTTAGTAAGAGCAGTAACCTGTTTTACTGAACTAAGTAGTAAGTAGCCTCATATGACCCGATAATCGACTACTACAATACTGCATTTAATAACAATCATACGTTAGCTTTTTAGAAATCAGCCTTGTAGCTTCTATTCATAGCGAGTTCGTATAATCTCACAGCTCTTCAATCACTCTGTGGCTTAGCATATCGTGCTAATGTTTTTTTCTTGCCGCTGGATATCTTGGCAACGAACTATTCTTAGGTAAAGCGGACAGATTCTTCAACAGCCAAACCTGGTATCTGGGAGGCCTGTTTTCATACATAAAATCAGTACTTGCATCTACACCCCCAGTCAAAAGCAACCTTACCCTATTACTTTAATCCGATGTCTTCAGAAGACACCATTTTTGACCTTCGTGGCGACATTAAACTTTGCGTTGGCGAAACGGACCCTGTCACCTTCACAGCATGTTCCAGGGCCTTAGCGAGAACCTCGCCAGTTTTCGAGCGGATGCTGTTTGGAAGATTCATGGAGTCCAAACCGTCAGATGATGGAGAACGGCTTGTCAAGTTGTCAGAAGACAAGCCCGGAGCGATGTCCATCTTTCTACGCATATCCCATGGCCAATTCAATCAAGTTCCGCCGATTCATCGATAGACGAGCTGTATGACCTTACGGTCTTGTCAAATTTTTATGATAGCACAGGATCACTTGAACCCTGGATACAACGCTGGGCGCCTTTAGTGGAGGGCAAGGCAAGGGCAACAAAAGAAACAATGGTCAAGGGCTTATGGATAGGATGGGAATTCGGTCGCAAAGATACATTCGCAAGGATAGCAAGAAGATTGCTCATGGAGTCGCATGGTTCTGAATACCCCGACATCCAAACACCGCCTGACATTATCGGTAAGCTTACCTCAAGCATGAGTTGAACAGTTACTGACTCAGCTTGTAGAACAAATCTCGGCAATCCGCATCTCGACAATTCAAGCACTTCTCGACCTCATCGGCCAACTCATTAGTCATCTACTTGTCGTTGATGAAAGGCCACGCTGGTGTCAGCATGCTGAGTGGATGGGCCCGCATCGTTGTGAGTCTATGATTCTAGGGTCTATCACATTTTGCCTTTCTCGAGCGGGCTTATGGCCTTTGCCCAAGGCAGAAGATGTCAGTGACAGCATTGTTAGCCTGCACCGCATATTGAAAGGGTCGGTGATTCATGATATTGGAAAGGTCGACGGGTTGGATCACGCCACATGTAACCCAGGACCGTACCTATTGAATGTAGTGGAGAGAGTTTATACAGAGATTCCAAGTCCTGTGACGAACTTTCAAGCAGAAAAGATGGATGAGCAGATGAAGAAGTTAACGAATTCATGATTGTATGGGAGATGCAGAGTCCGTCACTTAGTTACCAAGACATCTACAAAAAAGAAGAAGAAAAAAGCTTGATATCTTTCTTTTACATCAGTCCGTTATACACCAAGCTTCCCAAAATGTCCAGGTTATAGAGAGTATATTATACTAACAGAGCTTTATATCCTAAGCTACTCAAGCGTGCAGATAGATTTAAATGTTCTTTACCTGCGTCTTGGCTCTGCCATACTTTCTCTATAATGTCGAAAGTTGAGCGGATAGTACCAAATGCCTTCAAACTATACATTGAGTCTATTATCCCACGGACGGCTGGTCGTTGCTCTTTGCTGGCATTGACACCAATTACACAAAGTGGCCATGCAAGCCAGCGCAGCCATGGAGTCGAAGTAACCATGCCAAAGGAACTGATTGCCTGTTCTACACTTGTCTGGAGCTCGGAAGCCTTGATGTCTCCATCCAGCTTAACAGAAATAAGATACGTACGAGCAGCATGGATCCAGATTCGGGTTAGTGGTAAACTACCTCCCGAAGAATCGCAAGGCTGACCACTTGGAGATCCCAATTGATTAAGTAGTGACGCAAGGGGTCGCACAGATTCGGAATTTTCACAGCTTTCGTCGTTGCGGCCTATTTTTTCCAAGCCTTTATGAAGTACCTCTTTGATCGAAGAAGCTCTGGAAATGAGCTCAGTTCTTGATAACTCGCCGCTCAACATCTGGTCCGTCTTCCACCGCGAAAGAGTTGAGATATCACCGATGGCCAGCAGAACCCAAGCCTGACACCCAGTAATTTCTTCTAGATCTAGACTGGGCTGCTCGCGCCAGTCGCTGCGTCGGATCTCAGAATGGTACGCAGATAACCTTGCGCGTCGATTGAGTACCGTGCTGGAGATGATATCAGCGACTAATAGAATACTGGAAAAGAACCGAAAGGCTCCCTGTTCTGTATTGAGAGCATTAGCCGCCAAGGAAGGGTGATGCAGGTTGCTAAGCACGGCAGACATTTGTGGAGTCGAGCCAGTCTTGCCATGATGCTCGAGGATTTGCTCAAATAGGTCAATGGCGGCGTCCAAGTGTGTCTGCCAGTTCCCTGACGGCATAATTGCAAGTTCAAAGCCAAGCTGCTGCATCATATTTGCCAACAAGTGCACACTGTCCACAAGGGAATTTTCAACGCCACAATCACGAAGACTCTGTAAGTCGCGCTGAATACTCCCCAGGGCAATGTTGGCCTGTTTCTGGAGCTCATCCCACGTCTTTGAGGCGCAAGACCCGTGCCCCACACTGGTATCTGCAGGTATAAGGGACAAGAAGAGGGAAGACATGCTAATAATGCTACTCATGAATCCGGGATTCGTCATTGCGAGGGACAACAGCCAACTGCGTCCGCCTCGGGTGATATATGGTCGGTAGAATGGAAATAGAATAGGGAAGACATAGTCCATATACACTGAAATGAAACCTATTTCAAGCTCTGTCGGTGCCGCTGTTGATGGAGTAGTGTGTTCTGATGACGACTCGACTGATGTGCTATGGGTCTGTTTGGGCGAAGAATTCTGGAAGGTATCCAGGGATGGCTCATTCCCCTCGGGGTCGGGGTCGACATCAATCCCGCTGGCGATACTCCTCATTTGAGCAATTCCACGACGACGTTTTGCGCTTCTCCTGACTTGGGCCTTCAACCGTGTCTTGGCTTCACGTCGGCACACCTCGCTCTCCATCCATTGGGGCTTTTCGGAGGAATAGTGGCAATCAATTTCTAGCGCCGCACAACCTCCACAAATCGGCAGCGATTCGTCGCATTTTTTGTGCCGCAGGCGGCATGTCCAACAAGTAGTGGGCTTCATTTGTCGATGAAAGTGTCGCGTGCATGTCGTATCAGCCTAGGAGTGTGAAAGAAAAGAAGAAAATGAGAGTCCGCAGAGTCCGCAGAGTCCGCCCGGACTAGAGCCCGCGCGGGAATTTCTCCGCGCGGAAACTGATTGAACTACGGAGAAGGCCAGCCAATAGAACAGGGTGCTTTTCATCCATTCTCCACTCCGGTTTGCGTCTTCTCTGCTTAATCCAATCGGTCAACGCATGCTTCGGGTAGGCTTCTACGGTGGAATCCAACGGCAGCAGTGGTCCGAGAGAGTTAGAGAACTTTTTTAGCAGCAGTGATGAAAGCAAGATGGGAATAATTGAAACTGGTCAAGCGGGGCTCTGCACATCCCGAGTATAAAGAGTGGAATATCCTGCCACAGATACAAGACACACTTCTCAGACAGCAATCCCAAAGCCCTCTTCTTATCTCCCCAATAACAATCTCAACATGAATGTTGCAATTCTTGGTGCCACTGGCCAAAACGGATCCTCTATCGTTGACGGCCTGCTCTCATCAACAGAAACCAAATTCGTACGTCTCTACAGGGCTTTAACACTCGGACCTCATCACGTATTCTAATCTTTCTGGAAGCAGAACATCACCGCTCTTGTCCGGCCTTCTTCACTCAACAAGCCCAATGTGGTCGACCTACAGAGGAGGGGTGTCAACGTAGTGTCATTCAACCTTGCTGACTCTGAGGATAATGTCACGGCCCAGCTCAAAGGCATCGACGTCCTTGTTGTTTGCTGTTTGCTTGACGAAGTTACCCTTGCCAATGCAGCCAAGAAGGCAGGAGTGAAGCGTTATGTTCCATGCTTTTATGCTTCAGTGATGCCAAGGGGCGTTCAGACCTTGCGCGACAACGTGAGTGGCGGTTATTTCCCCGTCCGGACTTTCAAAGACTGACATACTACCCGCATCTGTAGAAGGAGGCCATACTGGACCATCTTCAAAGGCTCCACCTTCCTTATACCGTTATCGACGTCGGTTGGTGGTATCAAATCAGCCTCCCGCGCTTGCCCTCCGGCCGCATCGATCGCAACCTTTTTCTTTACAATACCGCTATCGGAGGCAACGGTGACGTACCTTGCGCCAGAACCGATTCTCGCGATGTTGGCGTGTATGTCGCTCGAATCATCGCAGACCCTAGGACCCTTAACCAGAAGGTCTTCGCCTACACCGACCTCCGCACCCAACATCAGCTGTACGATACAGTTGAAAATCTTAGCGGTGAAAAGATTGAAAGAAAATACGTATGTTTCCCCAATCCCAGAATTGTTCCTACCCCTCCAGTGTCATCAAAGATTTGGTGGTAAGCCAGCAACTGACTTTTCGCCCTTAGCGCACCGCCGATGAGATTGATGCTGGTATTGCTAGGACCAAGGACGATCCCTACAAGATGATGGATTACTATCAGTTCACCTACCAAAAGTCATACGACATTATGGGAGAAAATACACCCGAGTACGCCCGCTACCTAGGCTACCAGGTCGGCAAAGACCTCTATTCTGACCTCGAAGGAATCTCCTTTGAAGACTTCCTTAAAGAGACTTTGAAAACTGGCTTAAGGCCTATGTATGAAGAACATGCAGACTTTCTGCGGGAATCCAGCTCTTTCGTTTTTAATGGCAAAGTCACGACAGAATGAGTTATTGGATTAATTCTAGGAGGAATCGTTATGCAGATTAAGAGATTACATATCATATTGTATACAGAGGGCCATTCTTCTTTTAGGTATATCTCGCTTACCTTGATAGAGAGAAGTGAAGTTGTACTAGAGACATCTGAGGAGGGGAAACTGTGATTACTCCGGCCTATGTTACCTACCAATTAGAATACTTTGAAAGGTAGAAAATAAAAGAAAGGATAGCTATATGGCTGTTGAAAGGATATTCGATGTTAATACAACTGGGTTCCGAAATCGCTTCAACTAACGGGCCCATAGGAACAGACTATTGTTCACTTCATTCTCAACTTTAATCCCAGAGGGTCTTGTCCGCAATTGTGTGGCTTTTAAGAAAAGCCCAATCGACTACTCGCGGATCGCAATGCACTATAAGTTAGCAAACGCTGGACTTCTGACTTGATACGCTGATATCAAGGTCTCCTGCTAACTTTTTAAAAACCTGTCGACCTAGTAGCTAATAGCTATTCCAGAAATGCCTGCCCCACCACGCTTCGGAAGTTAAGGTCTATGCAGCTATCTATATATAACTTACAATACTTTGCCATAGGACTTTCTGAAATTAGACTGATACTCTGGTATATTAGGAGACTCGTACATTCCATTCGTTTCTCAAAAGCCTTTGTAAAGCACTGGATGTGTATTTAATTATTACATCTAACTTTTACATCCTTCATCGGCAAAGCCCTGATCTAAGTTATCTTAAATTAGTTGCAAGTATCTAACATACTAACACAGAGCACTGTAAGTTCGTGTTGCTTCCCATAAAAACGAAGGCATCGCTCCATCGTCTCTCTCAAAATGCCTGTAGCTTCGTGGAAATCGGCCCTTTTGGCAAGACATAGTCCTATTATAAGCATCGCGTTGATTTTTTCCGCCGTTTCCTCTTCGGAAATACTTTCCAGTAGATTAAGCAAGAGGCGACTTTTCTCTTCAGCTTCCTGGTATTTACCAGCAGCAAAAAGGATAACTGTTAAAAGATCAAGACATTGGCGCGTGAAGTAACCCTTTGTTCCGATGCTTCTTTCTCTTTTGAGATAGACTCGTCGAGCTAAGTGCTCTGCTTCCTCGTACAGGCTTTGATGGAGAAGAGCTGTTGAAAGCCTCAGCATGGTATTTGTGTTGTCTATTTCTGCTTCACCGGGGTCCTTCGGTTTTGCGTTCAGTACTTGCCGAGCCATTTCTTCTGCTTCCGTATATTTAGAAAGTTTCAGAAGACAGTCAACTAAGGTACCCTTGGTGTCAACTGTGTCTTCATGCTCTTCGCCTAGAACCTGTCTTTGTTTCTGCAATGTTTGCTGCAATATTCTTTCTGCTTCTGCAGGTTCTGAGCCCTGAAGTATGTGTCCATAATCGGCAGCGTAGCGCAAAGTTTGAGGATCCTCTTCGCCAACAGTCTCCCGGCTTAGCTGTAGGTTCCTTTGTACAAGATCCTTTGCTTCAAAAGCCCTTCCGGACTTTTTGAGTAGATCAGCCAAAAAGAACCTCGCCGTCATCAGCTCAGTATGACTTTCTTGGAAAATATTGCTTCCTATCCTTACCGCTTCTTTCATGAACCCAAAAGCATTCTTATGCTCGGCGTATAGGACAATAGAAAACGAGAGAAGTATCTTGAATCGAGCCGAGAGATCATTGGAGCGAGTGTTATTACTCACTACACTCTCAGCATGGGGTATGAATCTCGTATATCGATCGCGGTCTTCCAGCTGGTATTTTTCGAGGAGGTTTGTTAGTCGCAACAGTACTGGATCATATGCTTGCACAAAACGTCCAGTTTCTTCAAGCCAATTCCGGGTAGCGAGACGGACTAGTCTATGCATGTCAAGAAACTCCCCATCTTCCCTGGTTGTGATAAAGGCATACGACTGAAGAACACCAATAGCCTCGTTTAGCTTCAGGTCCTCATACTCTGGAGGTAGGATAGAGAGTGGGATGTCCTTTTCAGATAAGAAGCACAGGAATTCCAGAATGTCGCCAGCCATTGGGTTGATTCGACGAACATGCTTGAAGGAGATAAGCCATGTTTTAGCCACTGCGGTTTCGGCCTGGCCTCCATAGTCCGAGTCTTGACTGAGAGTCTTGTCCCTGAATTCCTTTGTAAGCAGTTTGATAAAAGTCTCATCGCTCGATTGGCACAGGTGTAAATATCGTGTAGGCGTGTCCTTGGTCTTTTGCATGTACGATGCAGCCTGCTTCAAGGCCAATGGAAGATAGGCAAGAGTTTTGAAGAGACAATCAAGGCTATGCGTTTCTTCCATCTGCGACGCTGAAAGTTTGGTGCACATGAGGGCTGTGGCTTCTTCCTTACTCATGGCATCGATAACAAAGGTGCCAGCCGAAGGTGCGTCAAGTTGAGTTGTGATCTCGGAGGTTCTGGTTGTGAAGATAATTGAACCGGCGGGACTCGATGGTAGATAAGATGCCAAGCATCCTGGATTGAACAGAAGTTTCGGGTCATCCGCATTGTCGATGACAAGAAGCCACTCGCCGACGTTGGCGCTGCTGAGTGCCTCTTTGACTCTTGCTGTGATGCTAGCATTCTCGCCTTCCGGTATGTCTATGCCCAGGAACTCCGCTATGCGCTTGTATGCATTCTGGAACCCGATTTCATCGATAGCAGGGACCCAAAACACAGAGCAGCCAGGGTTCAACTTCCGTAGTCGAAAGGTAGCTTCGAGAGCGATTTGAGTCTTCCCAACACCACCAAGGCCTTCAACTACAGTCTGCTGACATGTATCTCGGAACTTCCCTGGTGGTATTCTGTGAAGAATCTCGCGCATAATGTCTTCGCGCCCAACAAAGCTCTCATTGCGTTCGAAAGGGACCATCCAATGACCTTTCGGCGGAGGCTCATCACCAGGGACTTGTCTGTTAACAACCGTTCCTACGTTCTTGCACATCTTCTCTATCACACCGGAGACACTCAGGTATGATCGGTCCTGAGGGCCCCAGTATTTGTTGAGATTGATGTGGTCGGTTTGAAGCTGTAGACGTTCGCTCCCAGATACACAGGCTGATTCCTCAACGACGACCTGTCTCTACATTAGCTGGTGGCCTTGACACCACAGAACAACAACTTACAAACCCCCTGCAGAAGCTCGATAAAAATCCAGACTTTATAAACATTGTTTGAATTAACTCAAAAAAGCAAACGATGGGGAAGGGATAGACCTCTCTACTAAGACGTCCAAGACTTTGTGCTTTATCTCGAAGTTGGGGACTGTCATACACCAACAATGACAGGTTTTCCTGGTGAGAACCCCAGAGGCCCGTGAGACGGGCAATCAGTGTGGCAATCCAGTACATGCGTGTCCCTCTAGAAGGTGTTCCAAGAGTCACAAGGCCAGCGGTGTTTTTGATGATATACTGGAACTCTCGCTCGCGGTCAGCAAAGATAAGGCCATCCTGGACGACCAGACCGCCAAAGCTGTGAGCCAAAAAGACCACGGGACGATCGCAGTGCCCTCTGAGATTGTGCATACTACGAATCAAGTCTTCGCCGCACAACTCAACGCGTGTTCTGGGAGCATCGAACATCCATGTCGAATCATAGTTGAACGCCATTATTCGTGCAGTGGGGACAACCTTCGGGAGCATGTTGGCATCTTTAAGCCAGTGAACTGGCTCTTCGGACTGTCGCCACGTCCATGTCCTGTCGACATCGGACCCCAAGCCATGCACGGCAATAATGCTATGAATCAATCCTTTAGTAATTATAATTGTCGTACCAAGAGATAGGCGCGTACTCGACCGTGGCTGGTTTAGCGATATTCGGATCGTTCTGGGGATCGTATAAGACATCGAATGGACTTCGGTTCCGTTGATTCTAGCGAAGCGGTCAGTATTGCACGTAAACACATCGACTGTTCATACCGTGGTCTGCTCTGAGCGTGTCCCGGCGAAGTAATGTGTGAGGTAGATTGAAGTGATGGAAATTATTATAAGTGACAGAACGAATTGCTGGAAACTGATATTGACCTCCATCTCAACGAACCGTGGTAGATGAAGAAGGGAAAATTGTTTCAATCGAAATTGTCAGAGCCTTACTTTTCACTCTTCGTGTCAGCATGAAGCAGGGATGATCGCTCAGCCGCAGTATACAAGGTCGCCTGGCCAATGATATTTTTGTAATTCCAGCAGAACCAACAATCCAAAGCCTGATTTTGGATACATGAAACAATGTGGCTTAGGCATTGTACATTTGCCAGACCGCCTTGGCCACCGTAGTGTAATCCAAAATGATCTCAATCAATCTCACTGATGTATGCCCTGTCTTCCAAAACGAAACTCTCGCGCCCTTATCTGAGAAAGCGTATGCGACGCATCAAAAACCAACATAATCGCAAACACAATAACAATCAACCCGACACAGATCAACGGTCCAAGGATAGAAAACACCGTAAATCCATAAGACGCAGCCTGGAAAGCACGATTCCCGCCCAGAACTTCCGTAGCAAGCCCTACCTGCATAGACGTAAGCACAACGACTATATACACAGTCGTAGCCGTCAGCCATCCAAGGTTCGCATGGAAGAAGGTCGAGTATCGGTCCCAGCGCCTTACGAAGCCTCCTGGAGTGAATTGAGTGAAGAAGTAGATGTGGTTCAGTCTGCTTAGTCGTAGCTCCTTGTGGTGGAAGCGGGGGTTGATGTCTTGGTAGATATGTTCGGTGTTAAGCTCTTTCACAAAGGCAATCCAGTCAAACCAGGAAATTCCAGTGTTGGGAAGCAAATATCTGTCTTTTGCCAGGTGGAAGTCACTCTCGTGTCGTAGAAGAGCGGCGTAGGAGTAGAGAAATCCGAGAGCGGTCTTGTACAGCTTCCGTTGCTCGCATTCCTTAGGGGCACCCGGGTCTGTGACTGAACATTGACAGTTGTCTCTGCAGCAGAGATACCGAGTCCAGACTGTCGGCTCGAGGAGAAACCGTGGAAGAGGTTTGATGTAGATGATCCCTGTTGTCCAAACAAGATGCATATCCATCGCCTCTGTGATGACAACCTCTCGGCCTGTGGAAATCTGATCATGCAGTGGTCGAGGGGGTACCGCGGTGCCTGCCGCCCAGAGCCATCGGTGTATCTTGTTGAGACGTTGGATATTCAATTCTGACGCGATCCATGCTGAGTAATCTTGACTTGGTGGTACTAAATCATAGGATGCCGTGCGATATGATGCTGGGCAGAGACTCAAGACCGGGTCAAGATTATTGTTTGCCTGATTCCGGTCTCCCTGGCTCAACAGTTGGGTAGTGAAAGGCACATCCTAGAAGCTGTTAATTCAGGGTGCATGCAATATGTTCACGAGACAAAGTACCTGTCTCTTGTCCTCTCTCACTCCATTAGCAAGAGCCTGCGCCATGCTACAGCTATTGTGATCTCAGCGCAGGATTGAGATGCAAATGGGAGATGCAACTACAAAATAGCCTCACTTTAACCAGCAAACGGGAGCATATCACACGAGGCGAGACATGCTCAAGCCCTTTTAGTGGCGGGAGTGCTGTAAGAGAGACGAGCCCTAGACAAGAGCGCTAACTTCAATTGCGAGCGCCGATGGCAGCGCTTTGTGCAACAGCTGCATAAGTAAACCAGTAAACTTTGGGGTCAATTTGCTGCCAATATTTGTTCCCTTGCAGAAAAAGCAACTTGCGTTTCGTCTAGACTTCTGGTCTGCTGATCACGTCAATGCATCGTCCCGTCTGTTGCGGGCTGCGCTGAGACATCCATCCGCCCGCTACAGAGCATCTCGATCTCTGCCTCAGTAAAAGTCTCCAGCTTCAACTTTCAGCGTAGGCAATTGAGAGTAGTTACTCTCTTAGGTAATTACTCTAGCCAGCGCAACATACATGTTGCCAAGTCATTTTAATTAAAAAAGCCCAGTTTTATTCCAGTTGTCCATTAATCTTCCATGGTTCTGGCGGTGTCGTCATACCGTTAATGACTTGTTCGGGCACCAAACAGCCCGGGCGCAAGGCGGGAAGCTAGCGTGCAGATAGCCTATAATTATAGTGGGCTGTCCGTGCTGACGTCCCTGGAAATTCTCACTGCCGGCAATCAGTCCTTCCTTCCTATTTAATTCAGTTTGATCACAGTATAAGCAAACAAGCTGCAATTAAGAAATAACTAGCAATACAGTATCTCACTTACAGTAGATACAGTAGCTGGGTGATGATTTATTATTTCTTCATAGGATGTGATTGTGACGTGCTTAAATGTCTTGCTTTAGAACCAACAACTCAACTCAACCGAGCGGGGTCATGTTTCAGAAGTAAACAAGCGGTCGCGGTAATCAAGTAAACCCTCAATTAAAGTCAGATAACCGAGAAGCAAGTGATTCAAATAGACGAGATATTTTACTTTATCACAAGAAAATAACCATTTTCCTTTGGAAGTAATCTCTGGAATAAATTTACTGTAAAGTATACCTGGGTATAATATAGCTATAATATTCAGTTATCTTATTTCCAGCCACGCTTGATGAGTCACAGTGTCACATTCTCAGTAAACCCTCACATCTAATTGGTTAGGCTCTCCACCTTGAAGCTACGTAAGCCTGAAAATCCCCATTTCTCTTTTCTCTTCAGAAGCTCCATCGCCAACACATCACGCATTAACTTCCCTTCTCAGCCCATCCCGGTCTTGGTCCTTGTCCTTGTCCATGTCAATCTAAAAATTCTCCATCCAGAAATGATTCCTGTTTAATTTTGTTTTCGTTTCCCCTTCTCATCACACACAACAAGCGATGACATACGGGCCTTTAACGAAATAATCCATGGCCTCTACATTTTTTAAATCCTCCCAAAGCTCATCAATCATTAAACCCTCATGAGCTCCTTCTACCGCCCCTCCAACAAAACCACGGCCCAGGCCAACTCGGCCAAGCTCACGCGCTCGGAGCGCGAGGCCCTGGAAGAAAACAACCTCAACATCCTGCGCGCCAGCATCGAGCGCACACTATGGTGTCTCGAGCCGAGTAGCCCTCTGGCAGCCACTCTCCGCAGTACCCAGCAAGAGATCACTCGACATTCTCTATCATCGCTTATGCGCGAGAAGCAACCACTCCAAGTACAAGAAGACTCGGAAGATGAAGATGAAGACGACGACAATCTCCTCCCCGACGAAATCTTCGTCCAGAGCTCGCCGCTCATTCCCCGCAACAAAAGAACTTCGGCCCGTCTAACGACCAAACTTCCCGACCGACGACGCCCGATGCCCCGTGAGCAAATCCTGCCCAGTATTGAAAAGACAATCTCCGACCGAACGTCCGAGTCAGTTACTGTGGCGTCTGCGGTGTTCGACTCGCCCATTAAAGAAAACAGCGCGACCACGGCTGCGACGAGCGTCGAGGCGGAGGAGACGAAGCCCGAGTTCAAGACGCCGGCCAAGAAGAGAGCTGCCGAGGATGACTACGAGCCTTCAGCTGCGAAGAGGATTAAATCGTGGCTGGGCAATGTTAGCATCACCAATCTTATGGGAGGATCTATGGAGTAATAACGCGTTTTTCGCGATGTTTATTACTGGTGTTTATTTATTTGTGGGAGGTCTTGTTGATGATGGTTTGACCGCGTCACAACACAAAATGATACCCGTCAGTATGAAAAGGACGGATTCAGAAGATTTTATTACCCAAGGCGTTACGGAAGGAAAGGCTGTGAAGCACGGCAGACGTGTATCAGCTGTCTGGAGTTCAGGCAATTCGGTCGGTCGGTTGATTCCCCTCATGACGGCGTTCTTGTATTTATTTCATTTGTAAATTACGATATATCGACCCAAAAGATGGTCATTTTCTTGTCTCACACAGTATTTGTCGCTTGAACGTGAATTAAAGATGTGCGACATAGAAGCACCCCATCTCAACGCGCGCCTTTCTCCCCTGCATGTTCCACGAACAGCAACGCACATGAAATAAGTACAGACTCTTTACGCAGACCTCAACATGATTGCTATCGATAGACCGCTCTTGTGATTGATGTCGGTGTTTTGGAGACTGCATGCTCCTGTTATCAGCATGTCACCAGCCGTTCAAGCCTCAATGTCTGGAGAACAAGATCCTACCCAATCGGCCTTTCGTCGCGTTATCTCAACAGCGCCTCATTCAGCCATCTCTTCTCTCCCCCTCTTTTCTCCAGTCGATCAGCGCATGGGACAGGCATTACAGTGTATCTACCGTTGAATGTAATATTATTAGAACGCGCCGTCGGTTTGCTATCACCCAGCTTAAAATAATTTTCCGAGACTCCCGTTCGCTGGGCGCGTCTAGACTTTTACCCACTAATTTTAGTGGTCTCTGGCGCGTGTGGTGCCTGAGCGGTAAGGTAAGATAATCAGTACTTGCTATCGCTGCGAATAAACGTGATTGGGGGTGTACCCACCCAACGCAGAGTAGCGCTCGTCAACCTTGACCTGCACTTACCCTATGGTTATCTTACTTGAGAGGGAAAACAGCAGTTAAATCTTGCTATCCAGAGGAATAAAGGATGTGAAGTTCATTTTCTTAATAGGAGATTTTACCTTTCAAAGTTTCAGCAACTTATGGCGATTTTCTCAAGAGCTAGGAAGAGGCACATGCGTTTGTTCCTGAACCGTTCTCCTCTTGCAAAAGCCCCTCCACAGAATCGTGAACAGTACAGACACTCACTACTAATAATTTTACTTTAAGAACAGGTCCAACCATTTGGGACTACCATCTTTACAAAGCATACACGTGAAAATAAAACACAAATCCAGACGCGATATGCATTCACTCTACACAGATAAAAAGGACACAGCGCTTCACGGGAAAGGGCAAAAAAAGAATGCCACGATGTTAGAAATCGTTTTATAGGAACAGCCCGATGCGGGGGTCGAACCCGCAACCTTGAGATCGCGTACTCGTAAGAGTCTCACGCTCTACCGATTGAGCTAACCGGGCGTGGCTCTTAATTGTTGAAAGAGGTGACGCAGAATGGGTTTGTGAGGCTGGCCAGTTCTTTCATCCCCCTTCTCAACGGTTCATCATCAGGTGTGAAGAGTGCTAATGGCCGGGTGATTGAGGTCGGGTAGAGAGAGGGAGGAATTGAAGGCCGGATCCATGCGCACCTTGAAGTGAAGCCTTGCACGCTGCCAGTCAACTGCGCATGCAAGACAGTGATGCATGTGATGGTTACCGTATGCCATGGTCAGGGGCGCGATGGTGTCACGATGGAATGGACTCACACATCATGATGAACAGCAACACTGTCGAAGTATCTGGTGCAATGTATCACAGCACATGTCATGCACCATAGCGACGATAGATGCAAACAAAAGACATCTGAATCACAGAAGATGTGAAAGACAGCTGCGATAAGGGAAGATGACAAGTGGAGGAACAGTAAGTTGCGGGGAGCGTCTCTCCTGAACTGGCGGGGAACCTAACTCCACTAAAGGGAGCTTGTATCTATCGCCCCATTCAGGTGAGGTCCAGAGCTCGGATTGCGTGCATCACGTTCAATCGACATCACAAATAATTCAGCAGTCAGTCTCAAGTTCAATTTTAAATCGCATGTATTCATATTATGATATTAATCGCCCTTCGTCCCAACGACAAGCAGCGCCTCAGATAATTGCAGTTCTAGACCTATATCTTCAAATTGTTAGCTAATTGTTCTGATAAGAATTTCTCAAAACAATAGGTATAAAACATGTCCGTCATACAATGTGTTTGTGTCAACAGAAAATTCAGGGTTAAAAAGCTCTTGAACAGTTTATATAATCTTCCGGAATGCGAGAATGAAGGAGATTGTTTAACTAACCATTTGAAGTATTGACTGTTCGTTGCGCTGGAGTGTTAGTACCGGTGTAGCAATGACGCGTGCCAGACGCGTTACTCTGCTGCGATTTTGCTTGCAGGTAACCGCCGTCACCGCATGTCTTCAATTCACCCGGATAGGAATTGACGAGACGCACAGAGACAGCATTGCACGCGCACGCTGTTGTCGCTTGAGGCAGTATTGTTAACTCTGAGGGTGAGAAGGTTGAAGGGGCTGCAGAGAAAAACACGATGAATAAATAGTGGAATTTTGATATCTTATCGCTAGCGTGTCAAACGGAATCTTGGCCTGAAGCGTCTTATTGGCCACCTCCATCCACTTTAGTACCTTCCACAGGACAGGCGGAGAGTAATTTATTTGGTCTGCCCATCCTGCCTGCCTGTTGTTCTCCTCGTCCTTAAGAGCGTTATTGCGCAGGGTGAATGAACGAAGCAAAAGGCAAAAATCAACATACCATCTGCAAAGAGCGCAAAAGGAAAGGTAACTCCGGTACAGGGAATCGAACCCTGGGCTCCGCGGTACTGATCTCTCAAGTGATAATGAGAGCGCGAAATGTTAGCCACTACACCATACCGGACGCTAATTGGTTGAAAGAAGTTGCTGGTATTACTGCATAAGAACGCCAGGCAAACAGAAAGAGACAACAATAGCGATAACCACCAGCTTATCCGTTCAATCTCTCAGTTGATATCTCAATAGTAAACCAGCGATTAGACTGTGGAAGGCAGGCATAAGCAATTGACTCACTATGGTGGGATTTGTGATTTCTTTGTGCACACTAACAACAGTTGGAGAAAGTTGCCTGCTCGGGTCTGAATCTGTCTTATTCCACCCCAGCAAGCCCAGCTCTTGCAAATCAATATAAACTGTTAACCAGTAAAATAGATAGCCGAATCATGTGTAATTAATGATGAAGCTTAGTAGAACTCGCTCTGCATAGTGCTGGGTACCCAGTCGGAGAGCAAACTGAAGCTCCCAGACAACCTAACGAGTTTGCAGCCTGCAGAAGTCAAGGTACATAATCTTGCAGAATGTTTCTGTCAAGCACATACGACCATACCT